AGGATGCATCATTCATTAGGGGCCACCAATGTGACAGTCTACCCACATGGAGCAACAGGCGTTCTGAAACTCTAGACACAGAATTCTGGCCTTTAAGACTACAAAATAGCTGAGGCATGGAATGCTTGAGAATCTTCTATAACTCTTTTTTTCTTTTTTTAGAGAATGGGGTCTCACTGTGGTCTCTAACTCCTGGTCTCAAGCTGTTCTCCTGCTTCTGCCTCTCTACCTACTGGGATTACAAGTGTGAGCCACTGCACCCGGCCTATAACTCTTTTTTACCTTTTCAAGCCTCTTTTTTTTTTTTTTTTTTTTTTTTTTTTTTTTTTTTGAGGCAGAGTCTCGCTCTGTCGCCCAGGCTGGAGTGCAGTGGCGCGATCTCGGCTCACTGCAAGCTCCGCCTCCCGGGTTCACGCCATTCTCCTGCCTCAGCCTCCCAAGTAGCTGGGACTACAGGCGCCGCCACCACGCCCGGCTAATTTTTTTGTATTTTTAGTAGAGACGGGGTTTCATTGTGTTAGCCAGGATGGTCTCGATCTCCTGACCTCGTGATCCGCCCGTCTCGGCCTCCCAAAGTGCTGGGATTACAGGCTTGAGCCACCGCGCCCGGCCTTCAAGCCTCTTTTGAAAAAATATCCTCACATCTGTTTTGTTCTGAGTGGTCTTTTGCTCCCATGTACTCTGTATAAACTGCAGTTTTTAAAGTGGTTAGATTTAGTGACAATTTTACTGCTATTTTTCTCTCCTCATGTAACTTCCTAAAGATATTGTCAGTGTAGTAATGGACACACTAGGTGTCTTTCCCCCCTTCTCCCTAAGGGTTTGTTATTTCCTTCCAGTTATGATCTAGATTACTAAGCTACCCTTCCTTCATTCTGTATTAATTGAGGGCCTATACTATATTGCCGTATCTGGGTAGCCCAGTAAATAAGCTTTTGTTTTCATGGAGCTTATATTAGAGTATGGGAAGTGGGACAGTACAGAAGTAAACAACAAGAATGAAATAATTTCAGCTAGTGATAAATGCTGGGGAGAAAATTAAAGAGGATAATGTGAGAGGGAGTGCCCGGGGTAGAGATGGGGAGCTCCTTTAGCTTGCAGGGCACATAAGGCCTTTGTAAGGAAAGACTTTTGAGCTGAGACCTGAATGATAAGAAGCCATCCATCCTGACAGGGTGACCAACTATCCCAGTTTGCTTGAGACTGAGGGATTGCTCAGGACATGGAACTTTTGGTGCTGAAACCTGCAGTTCCAGGCAAACTGCAACAGATGGGTAGCACAAGAAGAGGGAATAGCAAGTACTAAGGCCCAGCATTAGGAGGAAGCATGGTATTTTGGAGGTGTGACAGAAGGTGAGTGTGGCTAAAAATGTGGTGAGAAAGGGTTGAGTTGAGGCAGATGTTGCTGAGGAGGTCAGCAGTCATTGGCCCTTGTGAAGCCCTGTCAGTAATTTGAATTTTATCATAAGTGTGTTGGAAAACCACTGCAGGGTTTTAAATGAGGGAAGACGTGGTTTTACTTTTTTTTTTTGGCGGGGTGGGGTGGGATAGGATCTCCCTCTGTTGCCCAGGCTGGAGTGCAGTGGTGCAATCATGGTTCACTGCAGCCTCGACTTCCTGGGCTCAGGCGATCCTTCTGCCTCAGCCTCCCTTGCAGCAGGGACTACAGGCGTGTGCCACTGCCTTTGGATAATTTTTGTGTGTGTGTATGTGTGTGTGTGTGTGTGTGTGTGTGTTTGAGACGGGCTGGTCTCAAACTACGTTGCCCAGGCTGGTCTCGAACTTAAGTGATCTTCCCTTCTTGGGAAGTGATCTTCCCTTCTTGGGAAGTGATCTTAAGTGATCTTAAGTGATCTTCCCTTCTTGGCCTCCCAAAGTGCTAGGATTACAAGTGTGAGCCACTGTGCCTGGCTTTATTTACATTTTTAAATGATCACTGGCTATGCAGAGAGTAAACCATTGGGGTGCCCGTGGAAGTGGGAAGACAGGTTGGGAGACTGGTCTAATCATCTCTCTTGAGATGATACTGACTTGGACCAGAGTGGTTGCCAGGAAGGAACCTGGGCTTCTTCTCACTCCTCCCAGCTCTTCCTCTCCTTCCTAAATCAGCAGCTTCTTACCCTGAAGAGTGTCTTTGCTGAAGTAGGGATTTCCAGCAGATTTACCATTTTGTAGCAAACTTCAGCCCTACTTGTATCACACAGGTGCTTTATCAGTTTTTCTTTGCAGTATTTTCAAAGTACTCAAATACAATAATATAGCGTTTTGTTTGTTTTTAAAGTATCTATTGATTTTCTCATAGGGCCAGATTGGGTAATGCTTTTGAATGCCAAGCTTAAAGGGATTGATTTTTATCTTGGATGCTTTTGAAGGAGTATATTTAGAATTGCGCGACATAAATAGAGCTATGCTTGCTAAAAGTTAATCTAGTAGGAGAGTTGGGGTAAGACAATGAAGTAAGAGGTGGATGTGTTGAATTTTAGGTGACAGGAGGCTGTTCAAGTAGAAATGTCGGTGGGGAGGGTGAGGGGCAGTTAGAAAAGTAGAACTAGATCTTAGTCGCAAGGTTGGGTCTGTAAATAGAAATGTGGGAGTCACCATAGAGAGGCGGAGTTGGATTTGGGGGAGGGCCCTCATCTGTTTATTCAGCAAGCAATTGAGTATTCATTGAATGCCTCCTAAGTGCTGGGGATGTTAAGGTGAACAAGGCAGGTGGATCCCTGTTCTCAGGAAGTTGGCATTCATTGGGGTATGTTAAAGTAGAAGGGCAAACAATAAATGACTTCATGAGTAAAATAATTTCAGAGAGTAGTAAATGCTGTGTAGATAATGAAACAGCATGATGTGCTGTGGCTTGGGGATGCTGGGGAAGAATCTTTTTTAGATTGGCAACCAGGGCAGGCCTCTTTGAGTAGGTAACGTTTAACTGAGACCTGAATGATAGGAAAGAGCCAGCCTCTGGAAGGTCTAGGGATAGAGCATTCCAGATGAAGGTCTTGGACACCAGGGCTAGGTCTAATCTTGGGAAAGGTCCCATTTAAGCAAATGAAGATGTTGACCAGCAAAGAGAGAGACAGGAAGGAAAGCAGGGACTGTGCTGGCTTCACTCACCAGCACAGTGAGCACTTTACACAGAGGTAAGTGTTCATGTTAAAAAGAAACAAACCAGGCTGGGCATGGTAGCTCACGCCTGTAATTCCAGCACTTTGAGAAGCTGAGGCAGGCAGATTGCTTGAGCCCAGGAGTTCAAGACCAGCCTGGGCAACATGGCAAAACCCTGTCTCTACAAAAAACATTAATACAAAAATTAGCCAGATGTGGTGGCGCATGCCTGTGGTCCCAGCTACTTGAGAGGATGGGGTGCAAGAACCATCTGAGCCTGGGGAGATTGAGGGTTCAGTGAGCTGTGATCACGCCACTACACTCTAGCCTGAGTGACAGAACAAGACTCTGTCTCAAAAAAAAAAAAAAAAAAAAAAAGAAACCAGGATTGTGTTCTGCCACCAACAGTAAGGAATCAGAATCCCAAGAAGGATGGCAGTGATGGCACGACCTGCAAGAAAGTCGAGGAAAAGGTCACTGGTTTTGGGGTTAGGTCACTGGTGAACCATTGAGATTGCCGACTCATTAGAGGGTGCTGAATTCAGAGACCACCAACTGCAAAGGGTTAAAAAGCAGGGAATGGAGAAATAGAAGCAGCATTTTTGGACTCTGTAACAAATCTTTTTCTTTGTCATTTGTGAACATATCTTAAAAGACTCCCCCACTAAGTACACCCACCTTTGGGAATCTTTCCTGGCTGTGCTCCTGAGTTTACTCACTTTCTCTTGCACCTTCTGTGTTACCAACCTTTCCCTGTTCTCTCCTCTTTTGCTTTCCCTTTGCTTCTGAAGATTTGACATTTTGCACTCCCATTCCCTTTTATCTCCACACCCTACAACTGCAAGCCAGTCCTGCCTGTCTTTGCTGGTGGGGGCCTGGTTCTTGGATCTAGAAAGGGGCCATGACAGATTTGACAAAAGGGATGATATTTTGATGGGCCACCAAGGTTTTGTTTAAGACCTGTGAATATTTGAAAACAAAGAGAAGGAAGTCAATGGAGAGGGAGGCACTAATGATGAAGAGGCAGAGGGGAGCACAGGACATGAGGCAGAAGTGGAAGGGTTCATCTTCATTAATATGAGGTGAAATCCTTTTTCCTCTGAATTAAGACGAAGGAAATAATACATGAGGCTGGGTCCCAAGATTCTTAAGTTGAAAGAGACGTGAGTAGGAGAAGCTTATGGTAAGTGGTCTGGATCTTTTTAGCAATATGGAAAGCCAGGTGGAATAAAAAAAAAAAAAAAGAAGAAGAAAGAAGAAAACCAGGTGGTCTGCTAAAAGTTAAGCTCAGAATTGGTGAAGGAATTTTGGAGTCACCACTCCAAAGATTTTTCTGGGGAATAACCAAGTGGTGAATGAAAGAACCATAAAGCACCAGCAAAGATCCAGTTGAAGTTGATGTGTATTTTTAGCAAAATCTGCCTTTGTCCAGGCTTGCTCTGCCAGGGCCTGAGCAGCTGGTGCTTATGTTAACTGCTGTTAATAAAGAGTTTGGATTTTAGCCACTGAAGATATTTTGAGACATTATCCTCGTAGTTGTCCTTAACAGTAAATCAAAGACTGATTGATTTGTTTTCCTCTCGTTTGACTTCAACCTGTCAGAGGCATGTAATTAGTAAGTGCTGCCTGTGGAATCCAGTATAAGGAATTTTAATCAACAACTTTTCATAGACTTATTAAACATTATAGCTATTATGAAAAGTGAAAACTCTCAAATTTATCATAGTCTCTTTTGTTTGTAGTAGTTTCTATAGCGCATTTAAGTTGTAAGGTGTACATCTACTCAGGTGCAGTTTATGAAATATTTTTGATTTACTCACAATAATATCCTCAAGTAGAAATTTGCTGACTAAATGGAAACAGATATCATTTTAGGACCTCCTTTTTTTCTATATTAGGTTGAAAATGGTGTATTTGTAGCCAACCCTCTTCAGGAACGCACAATTCTAATGAGAAAAGAGGGCGAATCTGCAAAAAGCATTAATGAGATGCTTCTAAGTAGACTTTCTCGGTATAGAGCCTCCCCGTCAGCAACCCTTGCTGCCCTGACTGGTTCCACCATCTCCAACACACTAAAAGAGGATCAAGCAGGTATGTTACTCTGTGCTTCCCAGATCTGTTTCCTTGTATAGCTCTGTTCAGCTACGTCTTATTGTGCACTTCCTCCATGCTGTGCAAAGCCCTTTCCTTTGCATAGTTGACCTTATTTGGTCTTCCAGTCATTGTCCAGCTTTTTATTCCAAGCCAATACATGTTGTAGGCTATGGACATAAATTCACATGAACCTGTAGGAATGCAAAACAACCCCATGTTAAACTATAAACATCTTATCATCGTCACCATTCGTATAAATTAGTTGATTTCATATTTCACATATGCTTTGTGAATGTGAAAACCTGAAAGTTAGCATCATCTTCCCTGAATACAGTCTTGACCAAGCAAATAACAGAAAAGCCTTCTACAGTAGATATTTTGTTTTTTAGAATTTATCATTTAGTTTTTGTAACTTAATGTTTTAAAATAGATAATACATGTACAGAATTTGAAAGTCAAAATAATGTAAAAAGGTATATGCGGAGAAGTCTTATTCTCACCACGTTGGTAAATTTTATATTCTGCCCCCACCCTACCCCACCACAGGTAACTATATTTATTAGTTTTCATTTATCCTTCCAGTGTTTATGCAAGCATAATTAAAGATGAATTTATATGTTCATAATTTCTGCCTTTTCTTAATAAAAGGTAGTATACTATATACACTATTCTGCACTTTTAAAGTAGGAATTCTTAACCAGGATACACCTTTAAGGGAATGTGTTTAATAACATGTTATTAAACATACTCCCTCAAAGTTTTAGATATCATTTTATATGTATCTGTCATAATTTTCATCAGATTTTCAGAGTCGTCTATGACCCCCCAAAACATTAAGAACCATTATTCCGTGAAGTTTATAGATTACATACCAAATATTTGGATTAATAACAAACTATGAACTGTAGTAAAAGATAAAGCTAGAAAAAGATACCATATGTAGAAAACTGCATCTGAATTAATAGGCATTTGATGAATTCAGTGTAATTTTATGCTTTTTTTTTTTTTTTTTTTTTTTTTTTTTTTTTTTTTGAGACGGAGTCTCGCGCTGTGTCACCCAGACTGGAGTGCAGTGGCGCGATCTCGGCTCACTGCAAGCTCCGCCTCCCAGGTTCACGCCATTCTCCTGCCTCAGCCTCCGAGTAGCTGGGACTACAGGCGCCCGCCACCACGCCCGGCTAGTTTTTTGTATTTTTAGTAGAGACGGGGTTTCACCATGTTAGCCAGGATGGTCTCGATCTCCTGACCTCGTGATCCACCCGCCTCGGCCTCCCAAAGTGCTGGGATTACAGGCTTGAGCCACCGCGCCCGGCCTATGCTTTATTTTTATAGTTAGAAATGCTAGGAAGAGAAAATATTTATGGTTAATTTGTTATGAGACTACCAAATTAAATACTTATTAGTCCATATTAGAATTTAAGTACAGTATTTTATTTTCACAGGCTTCTATTGTATCAAAGATAAGTGGCAAAATTGTTAATAGTTTTTGTGATTTGGGTAAGTGGATAATTCCAGCTGTAGAAGATACTTTCTAGAGGATAGTCTTTTATGTTTCTGTTTTTGTTGTTACCTAAATAAACGTTTTCATGACAAGCTGAAGGCCTGATCTGGGTTTGTCCCTTGGGAGAAAATGAAATCTTACCCTAAACAATGGAAATACTAAAGGAATGCTTATTGAAAATATGTATAATATCAAAACAAGACCTCAGAAGGCAAGGATATATTTAGAATTTGGTAGAAATGTGCACGCTTTAGTAGCACGTATACTGGAATTGGTAGAAACTGGTATCTGTATTCTAAACATGTGGTCTCATTGTACTTTTTTTTTTTTTTTAAGAGATGAGGTCTTGCTATGTTGCCCGGGCTGGTCTCAAACTCCTGGGCTCAAGCAGTCTGTGGATTCTTTAACATGATGTTGCTACATTAAAAATTCACCAGTTATAAACCAAGAAACTTTTCAAAAGTAAGCGAACATACAAGGTGTCTCTACGTTTTTGGCCAGGCGCAGTGGCTTACGCCTGTAATCCCAGCATTTTGGGAGGCCGAGGCGGGTGGATCACCTGAGGTCAGGAGTTCAAGACCAGCCTGGCCAACATGGTGAAACCCCATCTCTACTAAAAATACAAAAATTAGCTGGTCTTGATGGCGGGCACCTGTAATCTCAGCTGCTTGGGAGGCTGAGGCAGAATTGCTGGAACCCAGGAAGCAGAGGTTGCAGTGAGCCGAGATGGCGCCATTGTACTGCAGCCCAGGCCGACAATGGTGAGACTCAATTTTGAGACTCAGTCTCAAAAAATAAAAAATAGAAAAGCTTTTATTCCATTATAAACTAATGCCTATTACCATGTTAATAAGGGTATGTCTATTAAAAACATCTTGGTGAAAATGTTATACTCACAAAGTTGCTAATTTTCCAGTTATTGCTGTCTTGAGGTTTCTTACCTGTGGAAATTTATCTTCTTGAATTTATGTCCTTAATGAAGAATATACTTGGTGCGGGCTTGCAGCTTAAAAAAAATAAAACTTTTTAGAAGCACAAACATTCAAAACAAATATCAGATAGATTAGGTTTCACTTTACTCACTCTTCTAATCTAAACCACCTAAAAATGATTTTCATCTATCTAGGCTATAGATAATAAGTTATATTTTACAGCCTGACAGCTTTCTAAGTAAAGCGCTCTGATTGATTTTCTGTTGACATAATCAGTCCTTGCTAGTCTTGTATATAGAAAATCCGTAAATTCACTCCATGTTTTAGATATGCCAGTAAGGGAGATTAAAGTACATTTTACACCTCTTGATTAGAAACAATAATTATTTTCCTAATGACAGTTTATGTCATTGACCCTTTTAAACAAGAAAAATGTATGTAAAGGGTTATAATAAATTACACAGCTATAAAACTGTTTTGTGATAGATATTGTGAAAGCTTTCATTAGGTTGAAATTTTTGGCCAATTTCATGTTGAAAGCTGTTTGTTATGAGTTTAATATCACAAACCTTTCAAGAATTTATTCTATATAAAATGGAAAAAGAACCCAAGATCTTGATTAGAATATAGGTTGTTCATCCCAAATCTAAAGATCTAAAATGCTCCCAAATCTGAAATTTTTTGAGTGCCTACATGATGCTCAAAGGAAATACTCTCACTAATCTCAGATGTAATGAGTAAAAATAAATAAAAAACAAAGGAAATGTTCATTGGAATATTTTGAATTTTGGATTTTTCAGTTAGGAATGCTCAACTCTTAAGTATAATGCAAATATTTTAAATTCTGAAAAAATCTGAAATCCAAAACACTTCTGGTCTTAAGCATTTCAGATAAATGTACTCAACCTATATCAGTTTTCTAGGGGAAATGCAAATAAATAGTAGGATTCTTCTCTTATTTTGAGATTTAGTCCACGTGAGGATTTTTTTTTTTTAGAATAATTTGTGGAGGCATGATGGTATATTGAGGATTGGGAACACATTCAAGAAATGTTCAGACCATACAAATAGGAGGCTCAGGGTCAGGCTGTGGAGCCAGAAGATACTTATTTTTTTCCTTAGCTATTACTTCTTACTCTGTTTTCCTAATCTGGAAATCTGTTTTCCAAATCTTAGTTTGAGTTTGGGTCTCCCTCTTTATATCCTAATCTGTGTTGGTAATCAAATTAATTTTTGTGTCAAATATTTTGACTTAGCATTTTTATTTCTTTGTCCAGCAAATACTAGCTGTGGGCTGCCTCTAAAAATGCTGCGGAAGACACCCATATATACCTGTGGCACCTACTTGGTGATGCTGGTGCCTCCTCCAGGGGGATCAGGCAGCTCTGCCACCCGATCTCTTTTTGGTGGAACAAGTGGTTTGTCATCTTTAAAAAGTAAGTGAATTTTACCTGTGGCACTTTCCTCGATTTATCTCAAACTCTGAAATTTAAGGCTCTCCTATTAATTATTTAAAACTTACTTTGTTAAATAGTTGTTTGCAATAGCTCTCTGATAACAAAAAATACCAATTATCAATATAGGCTAGGAAGATTTAACAATATAATTTTTTGTGGATGACATATTAGTATAGTTTTTGAAAACTATTGTCCTGTAAAATTAATAGAAATAATCAGTTCAACAAAGTTTTAGGAAACAAAATAATATTTTGTCACATTTTTTACTGATGATATAGCAAGAGATCTACTCACTGTGATAGAATTTCTTTTTTTTTTAGATGGAATCTTGCTCTGTCGCCCAGGCTGAAGTGCAGTGGCATGACCTCAGCCCACTGCAACTTCTGCCTCCCAGGTTGAAGTGATTCTCCTGCCTCAGCCTTCCTAGTAACTGAGATTACAGGCACACGCCACCATGCCCAGCTAATTTTTTTATTTTTAGTAGAGATGGCGTTTCACCATGTTAGCCAGGCTGGTCTCGAATTCCTGGCCTCAGGTGATCCACCCACCTTGACCTCCCAAAGTGCTGGGATTACAGACATGAGCCACCACGCCCTGCGGATAGAATTTCAAAGCTATTAAAATACGTATGCAAAACACCTCCATTTTAGGACACATATACAAAATACTAAGCATAAGACATAGAAAAGCAGATGTGGAAAAATGTATTAATATTTTAAAATATACATACATTTGTATAAGGAGGCACACTACAGTAATTAAAGCAGTGTAATTTTGGCTTCAGAGTGGACACATAATTAAATGGGATAAAATATAGAATTAAAAAAATGTTCCTCAGGCTGGGGATGGTGGCTTTATTGAGATATAACTCACACACCATAAATTTTACCCGTTTAAAATATACAATTCAGTGGTTTTTAATAAGTTCACAGAGTTGTGCAGTCGTTACCACTAATCTACCCATCACCCCAAAAAGAAACCTCATACTTATCAACAGTTGCTCTCCTACTCCCTGACCCCTGGCATCTACCAATCTACTTTCTGTCTCTGTGGAGTTACCTGTACTCTACTTTTCATGTAAATGGAATTATACAACATACGGCCTTTTATGACTGCTTTTTTGTTTGTTTATTTGCTTGATTTTTAATTTTTGATTTTACTTGATAGTAGCAAAATACCACTTATTATTTTGTCTCATTCTGTGCATATTATGGTGGCTGAGCTATGAATAAAATCAGGAGGAGCTATAAAAGCAGACAGACATGTAAAAATCTTGTTTCTTCCTTTTAGTAACTATTATCTTGGGAAAATTAATCATTCAAAGCCTCAACTTTCCCATTTAAAAAAATGTGCAGATGATTATACCTACCACATAGGATAGTGTGAGGACACTTGACACATTATGGAGAGTTCCATATAAATATAGAATCATTTTTCCCTCTATGTAAATATAGTTGAGGATTGTGTCAACTGGAGAGCTGTATGATGTGAGAAGAGATGGAGAGTGTTCTCTACTCATGCACAATTCCACCCTCGCTTGTGGATACTCCTTGCTGTAGTGGGCTTGGTCTCCAGGAAGAAAGTACATGGAATGAGGTTTTCTCCTTAGTGCTTGCAAATGTGCATTTGTTACTGGACACCAATGATCCTAGATCTTTCTCAGTCTTTAGCCATGGAATCACTACGTGGTTACTGAGGCTCAGACAGGTGAAGTGATGTGGTCCAAGTCTCTTGACACCAGATCCAGCTCTTTTTCATTGGTTGCAAGTTGTTCTATCCATCAGTTACACATTGCTGGGGAGGCCTTAGGAAACTTACAGTCATAGCAGAAGGCAAAGGAGAAGCAGGCATCTTCACACGTTGGCAGGATGGAGCGAGTCTGTGACTGTTTTTTAAACTTAACATAATGTTTTTGAGGTTCATCCATATTACAGCATGAATCAGTACTTCATTACTTTTTATGGTTGAATTATATTTCATTGTGTAGATAATATCCCATTTTGTTTACCCATTCATAAGTTGGTGGACATTTGAGTTGTTTCTACTTTTTGGCTATTTTGAATAATGCTGTTACGAACATTAGTATATCAGTTTTGTGTGGACATTTTTCATACTATGGGCGCATACATAGGAGTGGAATTGCAGGGTCATATGGTAAGTATATGTTTACCCTTGGAGGGACTGCTAAACTGTTTCCCAAAGTGGCCATACCATTTTACGTTCTCATCTCCTAAGTATAATGGTTCTATTTTCTCTACATCCTCGCCAACATTTGTTATTTTCCGTTTTTCTGATTATAGCCATCTTTGTGGATATGAAGTGGTACCTCATTGTGATTTGTGCATTTCCTTAATGACTAATGATGCTTAGCATCTTTTCATGTGCTTATTGGCCATTTGTATATCTTCTTTGGAGGAATATTTATTCCTCCAAAGTCTTTTGTCCATTTAAAGATTGGGTTTTTTGGCTGGGCGCAGTGGCTCACGCCTGTAATCCCAGCACTTTGGGAGGCCATGGCGGGCGAATCATGAGGTCAAGAGATCGAGACCATTGTGGCCAACATGGTGAAACCCCATCTCTACTAAAATATAAAAATTAGCTGGGCATGGTGGCACGTGCCTGTAGTCCCAGCTACACAGGAGGCTGAGGCAGGAGAACTGCTTAACCCAGGAGGTGGAGGTTGCAGTGAGCCTAGATCGCGCCACCGCACTGCAGCCTGGCGACAGAGTGAGATTCTGTCTCTAAATAAATAAATAAATAAAGCAAAAGTAAAAATTGGGTTTTTATGTTATTGACCCTCAGTCTTTTTTTTCCCCTCTTTTTTCCTACTATTACCGCATATTATGACCATTGGTCTTATTAAATTGTGTTTAGTCTCCTTGGCATGGCTTTTTTGCTCAACTGAAATTGACCCCACTGAATTAAAGTGGGTCGTGATGGTACCATTCTTTCATGAGGATATAGCTTACACAGTGATTCTACTTTAGCGCAACAAACCAGTAAATGCTTAAATTCCTTCTATGTCATGAGGTCAAGAGATCGAAACCATCGTGGCCAACATGGTGAAACCCTATCTCTTCTAAAATACAAAAATTAGCTGGGCATGGTGGCGCATGCTTGTAGTCCCAGCTACACAGGGGTGTTCCTCTTTGGCTACTGTAGGGGCTGCTCAGAAAGTGGAAGAATTGGTGCTTGCCTTTAACAACTCATAGTCTAGTTAGGAGAGATGACATAGATGTGTGAGACAATGAGAAAATGATAGACAGTGCTGCATCCCTGCTGGAAGGATCCACGTGGAGCAGATTTGTGAGCTGCAGAATCTGAGAAAGAAAGGCTCATTGTGGAGTGGGGTAGAAAGGAGAGACTTCATGAGGTTTTGAGTTTAAGCCATAAAGAACGTGTATTATTCATATAAGTGGCCAAGTGAGGAGAAAGCATATGTATGTTAAGTACCATGAAAAGAGATTTGGAGATCTATTTTCTACTGTCCCATTTTGTTTAATGGAACAGTAGAAAATAGAAAAAAGAGTATCATTTATGTTATAACTCAAGTTAGGCATGATGCGGATCTGGGCTACTAGGGTGATGAGAATATGAAAAAGAAGCAAACTTGAGACACAGTGCTAAAGTTTTGTTTGAAAATGGGGAAGAAAATAAAATCAGTGATAGCAATTAACATATATATATGCTGGTGTGGATCCTTGACATATTTTAACTCATTTACTCTCTACAATAACTGTATAAGGTAGGTACTTTTATTATTTCCACTCTAGAAATGAGGAAACTGAGATGTTCAATGTCTTTCCCAGGGCCACCCAAAAGTGTTAGAGCTGGAATTGAAACTCCGAAGCCCAAAGTCCATGCTCTTTACCACTGCACCATCCTGTGTTAAGGGAAAAAGTCAAGGTGTATTAGGAAAGATTGCAGCTAAGTGTACACCAAGCTTTATTGAACACTGACTAACTGCAAAGTGTTTCTTGTAAACATTTTCATCTTGTGATTTAGTGATGATAACCCCTCTTGCAATTACCCTTTTGATAATGTGTATCAGAAAGAACCATCATGCAAAAGGTGCCGTTTTAAAAACACTTTGAAAACTATGGTTCAATGTTAAATTTAGGAAGATTTCTGGTGGTGACAGTTTTCTTTCTGTGGTCTTATGCATGTATTCTCCATCCCTTTACCACCAATTACCACCAATACGCAACAACAAGAAAGGGGTGTGATTTTTATAAAAATTTTGTTAAAAGCCTAAAATTTAAACTTTGAAAATAATCTTCAGGCTCATTAAACAGCTTAATGTTTGTTTCCAAAGTCCTAGCCTCTGGCTTGGTGTATCATATTTTGGATGGTCAGTTTACAAGTCGTGCAGATCTCATAGATGCTGCTGGAAGCTCACTGGGGCGTGGTGCTCTCGTACCAGGATTGGGTAAGAAATAAACGTGCACATTTCTTTGGAAAATTTAAAGTTCTAGCAAATTTCTCTTGAACTATCTTGCCAGTTCCCTGTGGCATTCTTGTTTCCTTGAAAAGAAAGACGTTTTTTGTTTTGTTTTGTTTTTTTGAGACAGGGTCTCTTCTGTCACCTAGGCTGGAGTGAAGTGGTGCGATCTTGGCTCACTGCAGCCTCCACCTCCTGGGCTCAAGCAGTCCTCCCATCTCAGCCTCCTGAGTAACAGGGACTATAGGAGTACACCACCATGCCCAGCTAATTTTGTTTATTTTTTGTAGAGCCAAGGTCTCACTATGTCACCCAGGCTGATCTCAAACTCCTGGGCTCAAGCAATCCTCCTGCCTCGGCCTCCCAAAGTGCTGGGATTACAGGCATGAGCCATTGTGCCCAGCCAGAAAGAATTTTTTTAATATTAAATTTTAATTTTGGGAATGAGTATAAGAAATTGCCATATGTAAAATTCCTCTGAGTAAACTGCAATTGAAGATACTGTTTATTAGGTTGTGCGATAATGCCTATAAGAAATTCTCAAGGTTTATGCCATGAAAAGTTTATTTCCTGTGAGGAATTGGTATACCTGTTATTGCTAGAAAATGAACATTAAGTAATATTCTGGATTTTCTCTTTGCCCTGGGTGGTAGGAAGCTTATTTCTAAGTTTTAGGCTCAGTTATTAGGGCTTTTTACTGTGTATTAATATTAATTGGTTTATTATACCTGGGTTTTTAATGTAAGACACTTAAATCCTTTTTGGAAGTAGGTCACAGATAAATCAGTTACTAAGAGCTCTCTATTTTGTGAGACTTACTCCTTCTCACACAGGAGTTAAGCAAAATTAAAAATTAAATGCTGGCTTCTTGCCGAGTCCCCACCTAGTACCTTGCCAAGTAAATCTATGGGACTAGGGATGTGGGTTGTCAACATTAGAGAGCATCCTTGCCCTTCCACTTTGTAGCAGTGCTTGTGAGAAATATGTATACAGGTAGCTGGTGGCATGATGACTGAATACAGTATGCTCTTTTTGCAGGAGCATGTTATGACACAGTGAATAACATGCTATGGACATGCTCAAATGACTATATCGATCAGTGGTGTAACCCTGGGAATCAAGCCTTCCATTATGTCTGCCAGAGACTTGGAGTCAGTCACATTATCACTGAGCCCAAAGGTGAGGTGCATTCAGGGTCTTGCAGGAAAAGATTTCCTTCTGAAATATGAGAGAATACCACAGCATTTGTAGGTGAAAACATAGCCCAACCCCAGAATGTGTCCCCAGTTTTCCCTCTTTGAACTTTTGAAACCTAAAGTCCTTTGTTCTCTGTAACCATGAAAGATGAGTTATGATTAAGTGAATAAGTATGTAAATAAATAGAGCTTTTGAGGTGGTCAATAGACTTTTTTAAAGGAAAATTGTTATGTCCTTCCTGAAATTGTTGGAACTTTGTTGCAAAAATTATTTGTATTTGGCATGGGATTGTATACTGTTGTAATGTTTTGCATTGATAATGACTTATTTATATACAAACTTAGATGGAATTACCAGTGAAGGACCTTTGTATTTTTTAATATTAATATGAACATTCTTAATATTAAGTTAATATTAACTTAAAATCTTGTGGCTTTAAAGTCAACTATGCTAATATGGAGGAATTAATCACTCAGCAAGTCCCCTACCCATAAAGCAACACTAAAACAGGTAATTATCAAAAACAACTATTTCCAGGCTCTGGAAATTGCCAAGGCATACACCAAATTGAGAGTTGTTATTCATTTTAAAAAGCCCTGAACTTTGGGTACTAGAACTGCTCCGATCCTCCACCTCAGTCTGCTGTGGGTGAATTACTGTGCTGACCACCTCAAGCTTGGTCAGCATAATAATTCTCTCAGGGTGGGGAAGACTGTGAAAAGCAGCAGCTTTGCTGCCAGAGGGGGCTGACTTGATAGGGAGCAGAGCGTGGAAAAACCTCATGTCCAGTAGCATTGTCAGTAACAGTAGTCATCTTGGTGGCAAACAAACAGAGACCTGTGGCTCAGCAGGCCTTAGATCTTGATCCCAGTTAGGGCAAGCAGTGGCCCAGCCGACTAGCTAGAAGTTTACTAGTGAGATCTGGATAGTAAGAAAGCTGTGGGGGACCACACGCCTACACAGAAGAGGCCTAAGACAGCCTAAGCTACTCGCACAATTCTGGCGAAACATGAGTCTGCATACACATGCAAAGATGTGAGAGGGCCCAACAGGAAGCAAAAACCAGAGCAGAGTTTAAAACCCTGTGAACTTTGCTGCACTTCCCCCAAAACACACAGATCCATCCAGGGTGAAAGTGTTACTGGCTCAAGGTGTTGGAGTACAATCATTGGTTGACAACCACTAAGGAATACAGATAGGGGTGACCCCTAGGAAGCCAGGCTGAAAAAGAAAAACAAGAATAATTAAAAATAAATGGAGCTGGGCATGGTGGCTCACGCCTGTAATCCCAGCACTTTGGGAGGCCGAGGTGGGCAGATCACCTGAGGTCAGGAATTCGAGACCAGCCTGGCCAACATGGTGAAACCCCATCTGTACTAAAAACACATAAAAATTAGCTGAGCATGATGGCAGGCGCCTGTAGTCTCAGCTACTTGGGAGGCTGGGGCAGGAGAATCACTTGAACTGGGAGGCTGAGGTTGCAGTGAGCCTCGATCACGCCATTGCATACCAGCCGGGGCAACAAGAGTGAAACTCCATCTCAAAAAAATAAAATAAGATAAGATAAAATAAATAAATAAATAAATAAATGAAAGAAAGAAAGAAACAAGTATTTGAGAAAATAAACTGAGCAGAAAAATCAGTAACCACGCAATGCAGGAGAAACGCAGATGTTGGACTAATGACTTTAAAGTCAGATGAAGACTTAAAGCAGCCGTTAGAAATGCATTTAAAGAACTAAAGGAATCCAAGTTAAAAAAAATCAAAGGTAAATATGATGACTATGATCAAGCAAATTGAGAATTTCAGTAAAGAGATTATTTAAAAACAACAACAACAACAACAAGAAAATGGAAATTCCGAAAAAAAAGAAAAAAAGAAAAGAAAAAAAAAGAAAAAGAAAAAAAGAGAAAAAAAAAAAAAAAGAAAATGGAAATTCCGGGTTTGAAAAGAAAAATTCAGTAGAGTGGCTCAACAGCAGATTTGAGCTGCTGGGAGAAGAAAGCAGCAAACCTGGACCATAGATTGGTAGAGTTGTTCTGTCTGAAGAGCAGAACAGGACACCTGGGGAGTACTAGTCAGACGTTTGTAGAATAGAATGTCCTTCCCTGTGGGTTCATCTGATGCTTTCTTATGGTTAAACTGAAGTTATGGATTGGGGGAAGAATACCACAGAAGCGATATCCCCTTCACATTACATCTATTCCAAGGTACATGGTATTGACATGACTTATTACTAGTGATAATAAAAACTGATCACTTGGTTTAAATGATATCTGCCAGGTTTCTCCACTATAAAATTACCACTTCTCCCTTTCAATACTCTGTTAGTCTCAACCACACTGAAGGGAAGGGTAATTAAGCTCCACCTCCTAGAAAAAGTATATCAGAGAACTTGTAGACTTGGTCCTTCAGAGGACCAAAGCCAGTTCATGTGGATAGACGAATGTTTATCAGCACAGTAATTATTATCTCTAGGGTCAGTTTTTTTTCTCAGCTTTCACTCTCGAATTTGGTGTTTGTGTAAATTTACTAAAACTTGGTGAGTTGTGCATTTAGAGTGGGCGAGTTTTATGGAATATAAATTATATCTTGATAAAGCTATTTTTTTTGAAAAAGCAAAAAGTAGAAAAGAAAGTCCACTTTGTATTACTGACTCACAAGCCTCTTGCCTGAACGCCAGACTATGGATTCACTTCCACTTGGTTATCTAATGGGCATTTTCAGCTTAACATGTCAAAACATGAGGAACTATTTATAGACAGGGGTTCTAATATGGAGCAGCCATAGGATATGGAGAGGTTTTACTAGAGTAGTTACCAGCAGGGGTTACCTCAGGGGCTGTGGACTGAGATGGCCTGAATCCAAATCCCGGTTCTACCACTTCTTAGCTATGTGACCTAGGGCAAGTTCCTTAACTTCTGTGACTCTTGGTTTATTGCTCTACAAAACAGGGCTAAAATAGTCTAAGTTGAGAACCATGTAAAGCATTCAGCCCATTCTTCAGCATATAAAAAGGGCTCAGTAAGTGGTAGCTACTTCCGTTCCAAACAAATGAACTCCTGAAGTGTTTTCACCCCAGCACCTGTGGCAGGGAGAAGGGTTCTCTGGCAGCAGTGAAAGAGATTATAGCCAAAATACCCTTTCCTAGTGTGCACACACCTTTTGTATGTCAGAGGTCTGTTCTTTGGGGACCACCCATAGAGATGTCTTTCCTCACTCAGTTTCCTTTTCATCTTCTAGAAGAGGCTATAACCACGAATGAGGTTATAAACCAATTATTGCACCACGTTGGTGCGATGTGCATACACCAACTTAATCTTCTTGCCACCAACCCCAATCTTCCAATCACAAGTGTCTTGGGCAAGCAGCATCCAATTGAAGCACACCATCTTAGCAGTATTTGTGACATTATGGAGAAGGCCATGGTTAATGGAGATACCTGTATTATACGCTGCATTCTCGTTGTCTTTCAGGTAAATACATTGTTTGGAGATAAATAAGATGATAGAGAAAAGGAAACGCAAACCTTGGCTTCAGCCAGTTCATTTTTACCAGAAGAAAAATTTAATGACTTTCCTGTTCTGTATCCTACCACCTTCTAATCCTGTAGTTAGAATTATCGTATTCATTGCACTGTGATTAATGGAGTATTGCTATACATAGCTTTTTACAATTAATATATGCAAAATATTTACTATAATTATACCATTACACAATAGAAGAGATTGTGGTTAAAAAAAATCCACCTGGTTTATTTGTTCATAGGGTATCTACCATGTACTTTCTTTGTAGGGATAATTTTATCCCCAGTAGAATTAGCATTTTTAGATAGACTCCTTATGTTTCTGTAGGTGGTATTTAAATTTTTCTTCAGCCCACAAACTGAAAGGAATCGAGACATCATTCGACGGTCGGGATTGCTTCTTTGGCAGTTGTTGATGGCACCAAAAGATCAAATTTGCCCTGAGATTCAGAAGGAAGTCTGCCTTGCCATCAGGTAAACAGCTAATGATTTTCGTAGTGCTCTCTGCAAAATGGTTCTTCTGCAAGGCATTGTAATCCTCCCTGAAAGCTGGTAGTATAAATGCCTCTTACCCCATCCCACAGTCAGGACCTCATAGATTGGGGATAATTTCACTGAAGAGGGGTTTGTAGCCCCACCTGTAGAGGACCAAAGCCAACTGTGTACTTGCATTTCCTTATCTCACTGTTTGGATCTAAAAAAAAAAAAAAAAAAAAAAACCCTTTAAGTGGATATTTTGATTATTTGCAGGCTGATGTTCTCATTTTGCAGAGTGTGGCAGCGTGGTTAAGAAGCAGGCTTTGGCAACAGGCAGATCTGGGTTCTAGACTTTGCCACTCACTAGTGTGACCTTGGTTTAAGGTTCGCATTTCCTTAGCTGTAAGATGAGCATAAAAATAGCACCTATTTTATGGGTCTGTGAGGTTTTCCTAAGGTAAGGCCTGATGCAAAGTAAGTGCTCAAAACTGCAAGTCTTTATCAACCTGTTTAAAGCTTTTGAGACAAGAGAGCAGAATTTATAGGCCATTTTCTATTTCTTGTCAGTCTTTTTTTGTTTTTTTTAGTTCAGTGAACCTTTTTTCTTTTTGCTTTTTTGAGACAGAGTTTTACTCTTGTTGCCCAGGCTCAAGTGCAGTGGTGTGATTTCAGCTCACCGCAACCTCTGCCTCCCAGGTTCAAGTGATTCTCCTGCGTCAGCCTCTCAAGTAGCTGGGATTACAGGCACCTGCCACCACGCCTGGCTAATTTTTGTATTTTTAGTAGACATGGGGTTTCACCATGTTGGCCAGGCTGGTCTCAAACTCCTGACCTCCGATGATCCACCCACCTTGGCCTCCCAAAGTGTTGGGATTACAGGTGTGAGCCACCATGCCTGGCCTCAGCAAGCTTTTATACAGGAATACAGCCTTAAAGTGACTATAACTATAATTTAGTTTCCAAGAGAGAGCTGAATGGTTGATCTGAAAGATCTGTATGACAGGGGTGAGCATATATGACAGGAAGTTGTTTTCCTTCCACAGTGCATTATGCTTCAAATCTCTTTCTGTGGAGCATTAAGGCAGTGATTGAAATCTGGTGCTCTGAGGAAACTTTTGGAGGGGATGGGTATATTCACTATCTTGATTATGGTGATGGTTTCTTTGGTGTATACATATGTCAGACTTATCAGATTGTACACTGTAAATATGTGCACTTGATTAAATGTTAAACCTCAATTAAAAAAGAAAAGAGGCTAGCCGGGCGCGGTGGCTCACGCTTGTAATCCCAGCACTTTGGGAGGCCGAGGCAGGTGGATCACCTGAGGTCGGGAGTTCAAGACCAGCCTGACCAACATGGAGAAACCCCGTAAAAATATAAAATTAGCTGGGGTGGTGGCACATGCCTGTAATCCCAGCTACTCGGGAGGCTGAGGCAGGAGAATCGCTTGAACCCGGGAGGCGGAGGTTGCGGTGAGCCGAGATCGCGCCATTGCACTCCAGCCTGGGTAAAAAGAGCGAAACTCTGTCTCAAAAAAAAAAAAAAAAAGAAAAGAGGCTGAATGCGGTAGCTCATACCTATAATCCCAGCACTTTGAGGGGCCATGGCAGGAGGATCGCTGAGGCCAGGTTTGAGACCAGTCTGGGCAACATAGTAAGACCTTGTCTCTACAAAAAAATAAAAATAAAAACAAAATTAGCCCAATGCCCTGGCAAGCACCTGTAGTCCCAGCTATTTAGGAGACTGAGGTGGGAGGATCACTTGAGCCTGGGAGGTCAAGGCTGCAATGTGCCGAGATCACACCACTGCACTCCATGCATTCCAGCCTGGGCGACAGTGAGATCCTATCTAAAACACACACACGCACGCACACACACAAATAAATTAATGAAAAGAAAAAAGATTCTGATGCCATTTGCAATGTTGTTCTTCCCTTCTCTTTGAAAAAGCTGAGAATTAGCAATTTACTTTCTTAATTGTTTTTTGGGGGAGGCACAATTGATATATGTAGGCTTGACTACATTGACTTTTCATAGCTTACCAATTCTTTTTAACCAGTTCTGCATCTAACCCCAAGTAACTTATTTTGGTAATTCACAGGAAGAGGAGGAGAGGGATGACATTTATCAGGGAAGTGATTGGACTGTATCGTGACAGTGAATTTAGATTCAAATGCCTTTTTAGGCCAGGTGCAGTAGCTCACACCTGCAATCCCAGCACTTTGGGAGGACAAGGCAGGTGGATCGCTTGAGCTCAGGAGTTTAACCTGGGCAACATATTGAGACCCTGTCTCAAATTTTTTTAATGCCTTTTTAGTGATAAAAGTTTTTTCACAGTTTTATATAATCAAATTGACATCTTTAATAAAAATAAGAATTTAAATATTTAGAGTTTTGATTTTCTAGAATTTTTGCTTAAATGTTTTTGACTTTTTTGTCATTTCAGCTCTGGTTTAAATATCTTGTACCCAGGTGAAACTGAAATCAATAACTTACTTAAACTGGTCTTAACAGAAGGTAAGAATTATCCTTTAATTATCTTTGAACAGCCGTCCTTTTTTTGTCCCCAAAGAAACAACTGCATATTAAGATAATTGATACTTCTTCATATATGTTAGTCAGCATATTTTAAAAATGTATCTGCAGGCCAGGCACAGTGGATCACACCTGTAATCCCAGCACTTTGGTAGGCTGAGGCGAGAGGATCACTTGACCCAGGAGCTCAAGACCAGCCTGGCCAGCATAGCAAGACCCTGACACTACAAAAAATAAAAACAATTAGCTGGCCATGGTGGCCCATACCTTGTTGTCCCAGCTACTCAGGAGTCTGAGGCAGGAGGATTGCTTCCGCCCAGGAGGTTGAGGCTGCAGTGAGCTATGATGACACAACTACACTCTAGCCTGGGCAACAGAGCCAGACCCTGTCTCAAAAAGAAAGAAAGAAAGAAAGAACGTATCTGCATATATGCTTACATTTCAACCAGATTGAAAGCAAAAACCGTGTTTTATATATCTTCAAGCTTTATAAACTGTCTCCACTGCTTAGCATAATGTATGTGACTATAGATGTTTAACAAATAAAATGATCACTTATTGGTGATTTCTAAGCCACTTGTCTTCACACATTGGAGCCTAACATTTTAAGTTACACTAAACAACACAACAAAAGGTACTGTGTTAAAGACAGTTGGCATTTAAAAACAATATTAAGGAATGAAAAATCACACTTCATAATATATCAAGAAGGTAATTACACTTTAATCAGGATGCTGGTTAAAAAGTCGGATTCATTGTGATGTCATTTTTGCTGCTTTTATTTGTATAAGTCCGTATGTCTGGTGCCCCTAGCTTGCCGAGAATCTATTTGTTTAAAAACTTTTTAAAAATAGCATCAGTTTTCGAGGAGTCATTACCAGGGTAGTTGATGGAGCTTTGTTCTCTGTTAGGAGAGAGAAACAGTGGACTCTCCCAGCTACGGGATGTGATCCTAACCAACCTGGCCGAACAGCTCCAAAACAACCGATTTGGCAGCGATGAAGATGATCATTACAGGTGACACAAGTTATATTATTCACTCCTAGCCTTTGTGTTCTCAGTCATTAGTTTTCATTTCAATGTGTTTGATCAACTTTAGTCTCCTGTTATAATTAATATGATCGTTAGCATGTTAAACCTAAAGCATGGACCAGATGAAAGATAATAGATTCTATAGTTCCCCTCAGAACTGATAATTGCACATTTCAGTTTTATCAGTAAAGTAAGTTGGACTTGGGGAAAGGGTCTTTAGCAAAAATAACAGATGGAACTTATTTAGGAGATCTTGGTTCAGAGTACTGTCCAAATTGCTGGTTTATGAGAAAGGCTGAGTATGTGTGTTAGAGCTGGTGAAGCAGACGAAGGTGTTGTTTTTCTATGTTATTTATAAAATACTTTGACTTTATAGTTGGGTGCCATTTGATTTCTATAAGTTTGATTTAAATAGTGTACCTAGTTATTAGCGTTATTACTAAGGGGATTTGCTTACAGAATCAATTATGTATCTTCTATTTGTCATCTTATACTAATTATATAAAATTTATCCTTTTATGAATAAACCATCAATAAACATTTTTCCTGCACTTTAAAGACTAAATGATGAACTTTTACACTACATTCTGAAGATTGTTGTACGAGAATCCTGTATCTTAATCACCAAGTGCCAAACTGTCTCTAAAGATGATTTTCAAAAGCTCCTTTCAACTGTGCCTGTAAGTAAAAATGTGTTTAATGAAAGCAAAATTATATCAAGCATCCCTGTTTTCATTTTATTGTATTGACAGGTGTGTATATACATACAGACTTAAAATAATTTATGAAAGTCAGTGGATGACTCCTTACCCTAGAAATGTAGACCTAGACAAATGCACTTGAAAAACCTTCCAAAGACTATTCCCCCTGCTTAAATTGCTTGATGCAATAAATTGATCAGATTTGGGGGTTTTTGTTTTATCTAGTGAGAGTGTTTTTCCCTTATTAATTTTTAATTTTACATTGTTTTCTAAACCATGGGTGTTTTATAGAGACCAGTAGGAATCAAAAGATTCTTTTAAGGGTTTGGGTATTCTTCTGTAATGGAGATGTGTGTGAGAGGGAGGAGGAAGGATAATTATTAAGAGGCAAAAATTCAAGTAAGTATTCTAATTAGTGAGGGTTGTGTACCAAAAGGCAGAAAGTTATAGTAAATGTGTCAGAGTATGCATGGAAAGCCATGTGGAAATAAGTCACCTGAAAAACTAACTTGGTCTGTTTTGTGTACTTTCTCTTTTTGTTTTCTTTGTCAAAATCTTTTAAAAACGTGAGGATTACATGATCGCTCTTTCAGTAGGGTTTAGATCATTTAAATGCCCTTATTTGTATTAAAGGCTGCATCCTCCTGCCTGCGCTATCTGATGGCAGTTCAGAATCACCTTCTCAGTAACACTATTTTGATTAAACCTGATGAGAATGATGACAGTGACAGCTCCTTGCAGGGAGAGACATTGAAGGTACAGGTAAACACCAAGCTTTATTTTAACGATGCGTTCTACCCAGTGTGAAAAGCAGCTTAATTGGCTAAATTTCTGTGTATTATGATGTCAGAATTCACCTTGTGGCTTATATTCTTGTGAGAGGTAACATTAGGCCACTCATTCCATAGATTTTTTATGTCATTGCTCAGTAGTCACCTGCTTGTGACACTCATAATGTGTCATCCATGTGCTCCTGTCAACCTTTTTGTGCCTTTGTTTACTTCCATCTTCTTTTAAGAACTATAAAATATGGCACTTACAAGTGATCTCATGTGTACCTGAAAGTTATAGTTACATAGACATATATGTATGTATGTATGTATAAATCAATCTTGGAGCATTAAATAATTTCAAATTTTTTGATGGTTTATTATATTCTCTTGATTAAAATAACTTTTAAAAGGTGATAATTTTCACAATTTTTGTATGAAATAATCTAATTTCTAAACCTATAGTCAATTTCATTTTCTATAATTATTTTTAAATTAGCTTCTGTGTAAACTCACTAACTTGTTCCCACTTGACAATTTATAGCAGTCCAAAGATTTTTTTATAGCCGTGGTTGTTATAATTTCGACAGATGCTCAAGGCTGTTGTTTGCATTGTTCTTCAGAATTTCATCTTTGTGGGAGAATCAGAGAAATCAACAAGAACTTTATTCTTTCTTAAAATGTTAAACACACTGAAAAATCAACCAAGGAAGCCATAGTTAAAGATAAAAACCAATGCAGTTTGCCCCTTTCTTACTCCTTCATGCATATGTACTATGTAAATCATACATCTGATAGTTTGTACTTATTGTACTTGAGTTTATTTCATTGTATAATCCATTTTCAAATAGGCAGACATACATGCACTTTTAATTTAAGTTGTTGATAATATTTATTTAACTTCTCTTGCCTTAGTTTTCTCATCAGTAAAAAGGGACAATAACATCTTCTTTGTAAAGTTGCTGTATTAACAACAAGCCCTGTAAATACCTGGCACTTTGCTGCCATGTGGTATGGAGTCAGTAGATGATTGTGCATGTCATTAGTGTGACTTAAAACATGATTTGGCTTATCATTGGTTCAGAATTCCTACTCTCTTAATGATAAAAAAAAAAAAAGTCTCAATAATACTTATAACAGCTAGGTGTGGTGGCTGACACCTGTAATCTTAGCACTTTGGGAGGCTGAGGCAGGTGGATCACTTGAGGCCAAGAGTTCGAGATCAGCCTGGCCAACATGGCAAAACCCCGTCTCTACTGAAAAATACAAAAATTAGCAAGGCGTGATGGTACTCCCCTGTAATTCCAGCTACTTGGGAGGCTGAGGCATGAGAATTGCTTGAACCCAGGAGGTAGAGGTCGCAGGGAGCCCTGATCACGCCACTGCACTCCAGCCTGGGTGGCAGAGTGAGACTCTGTCTCAAAAAATAACAATAATAATAAAGACCCCGGAAAATTCCAACAATGAGAAAGTTTTTTCTATTTGAAGGCTAAATTTTAGCCTTAGTAGATTCTTTTTTGTTTTTTTGGTTTTTTGAGATGGAGTCTCGCTTTGTTGCCCAGGCTAGAGTGCCGTGGTGCAATCTGGCTCACTGCAACCTCCATCTCCTGGGTTCAAGTGATTCTCCTGCCTCAGTCTCCCAAGTAGCTGGGATTACAGATGTGTGCCACCATGCCTAGCTAATTTTTGTATTTTTAGTAGAGACGGGGTTTAACGTGTTGTCCAGACTGATCTTGAACTCCTAACCTCAAGCGATCCACCTGCCTCAGCCTCCCAAAGTGCTAGGATTATAGGCATGAGCCACCGTGCCTGGCGTAGCCTTAGTAAATTCTTAATTAAACCATAGAGAGAAAGGTAAAGACTCTTAGGAAAGGCTGAATAGGCTCAGTTGTCTAGGTTTCTGGGGAAACATGTCCCCTAAAGAGTTTGTATTTTTTTAACTGAAAATCATTGTAAACTAAGCATTTCTATAATGTTAGCTAGTCCTTCTTAACACATTATTTAGTGTTTGTACTCCCACGAACTCTGTAATAGTTATTTTAATGTTTAATAGCCTGTAACTGCTTGCTACCTTAATTGAGTTTTTTAACTGCCTGTTTTTAACTGTGATGGCTTTAGGACATTGAGTTAAAGGTCACTTGTACTGTTTCAGAATGTTGTGTTTTTGTCTCATTTTATTCACCGCCTCTACATGCGCATTTTACTGTTCTGTTTTTCTCTTTAGCTATCCTCATACCACCCAAGGCAGTCTTCCACCTGGACAGTTTCTGGGCTGGCCACCAGGAGCTCTCTTGTGCTGGATGGGATGGGAGATATTTCTTGTGCTGGCTGGGATGGGAGCCTTTTCTCCTAGGGACTCAGTGTGATCCCTCTGAAATACTGCGTATTTCTGTCAGCTCTCCAGACCTTGGCCTCCCAATTTGCTACTTGTCATTCTAGCAGAATTTACTGCTTTGGGGTTATTCTGGCCACCTCATTATTTCATTTGGAAATGCATCATTAAATACATCATTTCATGTTGTCATTGTGAACGTATGTTCGTCACAAAGCTTAAAAATAATATGATGATATTTTCTGCCTAGGAGCTAAAAGTCAGTATTTTGGCTCTTGCCACCCAAATCCTGACTGGATGTGATGAAGTGTTGGAAATGCTACAGCAGGTCACAACTGCCCTCATAAATAGTGACATAGCAGACCGTGAGCAGAGGTAAGGAATGGATGGTGGGCTGTGACCAGCTGCCCTGTGGGAAGAAAAATTTGTTTATTGAAATTAAATATTTTTAGAATATAGAAGGATCAATTTTATATAGAGAGATTTTTGTGAGAATAGGCTAAAAGGGCAAGTGTTTGAAAGCCAAGTGCAGTCACACTCTTTCGTGTGCTTTCAGGTGAGATTGGGCCAACAGCCATGATCTAAGGGTAGCGAAGTTGTGGAGGGCACAGCCTAATCTCTGCCACTTGAGACTTCTACTGCCATCACTCCCAAAATGGCCTTTCCTTTAATTATCGAGGTCAGCACCATGCACTCTTAGTTTCCTCATGATAAAGACTTTTGGGAGGAATAAGTGACTTGTCAACTGCTACACAAAGGATGACACTGATGTGGTACCTCAAGATTTTACTGTAATTTTACTTCTCCAAATACATGTCTGACCTCTCTTTCACAGTAATAAAGCCCTTTCTCAGCCCTTCACATTAAAATTTCTGCTATAACCCCGTCTCTACTAAAAATACAAGAAAAAAAAATTAGCTGGACATGGTGGCAGGCACCTGTAGTTCCAGCTAGTGGGGAGGCTAAGGCAGGAGAATGGCCTGAACCCCAGAGGCGGAGCTTGCAGTGAGCCGAGATTGCGCCACTGCACTCCAGCCTGGGCGACAGAGCGAGACTCCGTCTCAAAAAAAAAAAAAGACAAAATTCTGCTCTGGTTTGATTTTAGAGGTGCATTGCATACTGTGTTTTTTGACGATTTGCATATTGGAGCTGTACATCTAAAAGAATCCTACAGTGTAATTTTTGCTTCCGTAACCCTGTCTGTTCCTATGGACTTGGTTCTTACCCACTCCCAGAGAGCAGATAGGAGGTTGGGATTGAGAACAATATAACCCAGATAGGTGTTGCATTGAGGCTTAGTAATACGTAGTTCAGTCTAATGGGAGAGCCTGAGTTTCTGGTTCCACTACCAATATCCTAAGTAGCCTTAAGGAATTTACATAATCCTTTCTTTCTGCATTCCTTAATTCTTCTAGCAGAGGACAGGGATATTAAAAATGTGATTTTAAAGATAAATTAAAAATTTGCCTACTTAAATGAGTCAAAATCATAGAGACAGAAAGTAGAATGGTGTTTACCGGGGGCTGGGGGCAAGGGAAAAATGAGGAGTTATTGCTTAATGGGTATAGAGTTTGGGTTTTATAACACAAAAAGAGTTGTGGAGATAGATGATGGTGATGGTTGCACAACATTATTTAATAACAATGAAATGTACCCTTAAAATGGTTAAGATGGTAAATGTTATGCTATGTTTATTTTACCATAATAAAAAAAAAAATTGGGGGAAGAAATCTGCCTGCTTCTGCATGCCCCAGGCAAGCCTCAATTTCTCTAGACCAGTAATGGATGTCACAGCTCTGGGCAGGTGAATCAATGTTGTAGCCATTCACTTCCTCCTTTTTAGAGTCACTGTGTAGCATAGTGACCAGCAGCCCCAGAGGCAAGGGAACTTTACAGGTAGTAACCATTGGCATTTTAGAATCCATTTGTAAAGTACTTCAAAGGTGCTATGAAATGCACCATGTAGCAACCTAGAACCTAGAACCTAAGTGGTTCATAAACCTGTAATCCCAACAGTTTGGGAGGCCGAGGTGGGAGGATCACTTGTACCCAGGAGATCAAGGCTGCAGTGAGCTGTGATTGTACCACTGCACTCCAGCCTGGGTGACAGAGTGAGACCCTGTCAAAAAAAAAAAAAAAAAAGGCAGCTTATATTTTTTTGGCAAAAATCAGAGACTGAAGGTGAAATCTATTAATAGCTTTCTTTCTGTTCTTCCCCTCTCCCTCAGTGGCAGAAGGTGGAAAATTTGTGGACTGAATTGCTATCACTGAAAGTGCTTAAGTGGTTTAAGGAGGTGCAGTTTAGGAGAAATTGTCAGATAAAGATGACATTAGTGCTTCTTCACATGTTTGGGCATTGCTTAGGCTGTGTGTTTTTCTTGAACTTTTTGTAGGTTAAAAGGCTTGGAACAAGTTACTAAGGCTACTATGCTTGGTCACCTTCTTCCAGTGTTACTGACCTCCCTGATGCATCCAAATTTACAGACTCTGATTATGGCCGATGCCCTGATGCCTCAGCTAGTGCAGCTGGTACTCTATACAAGCCAGGTATGATCCTTGGTGTGCCAAAGTGAACTGCTTTTTTGCCAACCCGCTTCACAGGGCAACTGTTTGCTTTCACTGAAGGCAGAACAAACATAATCCTGCCTTTCAGAAACCAAGGGAAATAATGATGGAATGAAGAAAAATATTGTGTCATAAAAATAAACAAATAACGAGGGAAAGCATTTTATTTGTTTGACTAAATTACTAACTGCAATCTTTTAGCAAGTGTTCATGGCTGATCAGCTATAAAAATGCTAATATACAATGCTACTAAAAACCTACCATTATAGTTTGTCTCCTGAGTCCTTGCCAGCTAATAGTAGCTAATATAAATGATGCATTCCATTCTAGCGTTAAGTAAAATAATATTAAGTTGTCTAAGTAGCACAGCATATCTTAGTGAAGGAGAGCCGACTAGGATTGTAAAAAGATGATTTAAGAGAGATCTCTAAGTTTGGCTCTCATACCATTTAGATAACTGACAGTAGCACTGGAAGACATAATGATGGTTTTTGTGTTTCAGACGGCTTTGCTGCTTAAAACCCAGTGTCCAGTTTTTGCTGAGGTGGGCTGTTCCCCGTGTGGTGCACCAGACCAGAAGTGCAGGCTGTTCCCTGATGAGAGGTAATGAATGCTGCTTCCTTTCAGGAACCTTTTTCTTGTTTTCTTCTGGTGAAAGCCTAGTACTCCTTTTATGAAAATGATTTTTAGCAAGGATTATCTATGTGAAAAGAAAAAGACTTCGAAATGAAAATTTTAGATAACTGTAACATTGCTTTGTAGATTTATAGCAACTGGTTAGAATAAATTTCCCCATGGAGCAAGAGATTAGTTCAAAATTGATCTGAAATTCTTATATGCTAACAGTGGGGATGTAAAATATTATGACTTTGACAGGCAGTTTGGCTGTTTCTTTTTTTTTTTTTTCTCTGAGACGGAATCTTGCTCAGTCACCCAGGCTGGAGTGCAGTGGCTCATCTCAGCTCACTGCAACCTCTGCCTCCTGGGTTCAAGCAATTCTCCTGCCTCAGCCTCATGAGTAGCTAGGATTACATGCGTATGCCACCTCACCCAGCTAATTTTTGTATTTTTTAGTAGAGACGAGGTCTTACCATGTTGGCCAGGCTGGTTTTGAACTCCTGACCTCATGATCCACCCACCTCGGCCTCCCAAAGTGCTGGGATTACAGGCGTGAGCCACCGCACCCTGCTGGCTGTTTCTTAGAAACTTAAACATACACCTATTGTATGACTGAACTATTTCACTTTTAGGTATTCACACAAGAAAAGAAAGCATAGGTTCTTACAAAGCTTTTACATTAAGGTTCGTAACAGTTTTGGTTAGAAGAGCCCAAAACTGGAAACAGCATAAATGTCCATCTGGAAACAACATGAATGCCCATCAATAAGTGAATGGATAAGCAAATTGTGATGTAGTCATACAATGGACTCTAATCAGCAATAAAAAGGAATGAACTATTGTTATATACAACAGTGTGTATGTAATCTCAAAATACTTAACCCTGAATGAAAGAAGCCACGTCCCCTTAGGTCACGTACTATATTATTTCATTTATATAAAACTCTAGAAAATGCAAACTAATCTCTAGTGACAGCAAATAAATGATCACCTGGGGGAGAAATGGAGTGGTTACAAAGAGGAAGAAGGAAACTTAATGGTATAACAAATGTCCAAACTTATCAAGTTGTATGCTTTAAATATGTGCAATTTATTATGTCAATTATGTTGCATTAAAGCTGTCTTTTAAAAAGATTTCCTGGGTTTCTCTAGAGCAGCGGGCTATGGAATTGAGCTTTTCACAGTGATGCAAACTTCTATCTGTGCTGTCTAGTTCCATAGCCACAGGTTGTTATTGAGTGTCTGCAGTGTAGCTAATGTGACTGAGGAGCTGAATTGTAAATTTTATTTCATTTAAATTCAATTTAATTGAAATGGCCACATGTGACTAGTAGCTACTGTATTGGACAGTAAGGCTCTGCAGCTCAAGCTTCAGAGTTGAAAGAATAAGAGAATTCTGTGGCAACTAAGTTTAAGTCTTAGGAGTTTGTATTCCGCAACCTCAGGCTCCATGCTGTCCTTGAGAGTTCAATTACAGTAGGTAAGAGAACCTTTGAAGGCACCTTTCCTTAGTAAAAATTACGGTGAAAAGTAGCTATGTAGACTCCTGGAGTTTTCAGCAATTGGCATGTAGATATCAACAAAAGGAAATTTTTACAGGATGCTAACCCTGTGGGATTTGCGAAGTGGCCAATCTTAAAGATCCTTTACAGTACCTTTTTTTTTTTCCTGAGTACATTTAAATGAGAGTTGATCAGGTCTTCTCTTGGATATCAGTTGGGCTTCTCCCTTGAGAAAAAGAAAGAAAAATGAAAATATATCTCTGCTTCTTGTCCTAGAAAAAGGCAAAAAAGAAAAAAAAAAGCAAATATAATATCTAACAACAAAGAAAGAAAAAACCTTTAAATGTGGGAATTTTTAAAATGTTTCTGATTGCCACTGATATCAAGCATGTAAAAGCCTCAGTGTTATCATACTGCATGCTGTGGAAAATTAAAGAGCAATTTAATGTTTATATTGTTTTTCCTTTCCTTGGCTGCTAAGCTAAATCGCTTTCTCTATTTCTGTTTAGAATGTTAGAAGAGAAGGAAGAGCCAGGATTTCTCACTGGTTTAAAGATTCCTGCCCCATGGGCTGCTGGAAAGACTGTGGAAACAGTCCACCCCGTCAGAGACAACTATAAATTTAAAGAAACGGTCCATATCCCAGGAGCTCGCTGCCTGTACCTTAGATTTGATAGCAGATGCTCTTCACAATATGACTATGACAAAGTAAGTAAGAACTGGGTTATTATTGGTTCCACCTCAAGTAAGCTGATTCTTAGATGCTTCTTATTTTTCTTTGCTGCTGGTCACCATTCTTGACTGATTTCTGTCTGTAGCTATCTCTAAGGAGAACTTTTCTAAGATAAAGTTCTTATCTTTGAAGGGTAGTGATTTAAGGAAGTTAAAGAAACACCACCTCTGCAGTCTAAGAACAGTGTTTTAATGATATGTTGAAAGTGTACTTTGTAAGCTTTCAGGTGCTTAGATGTGAGTGGAAGGAAATGTTCCTTTTCATTCTGCTTTCCCCTGCCCTCCCTCTGTGCTTGAAGTTCTCCCAGATGTGTGATGTCCATTCATCGAGAAAGGTCTCACTGCCCAATTCTTGGGGCTTCTCATGTATCTTTTGGGAAAAGGTGGCTTTTTAGAAGGATTTCAGAGGTGCTAGGATCTGGTTTATATTTATTTAAACTTTTTTTTTTTTTGAGGAAGAGTAGTTTCCAACCTCGTGGCTTAACAGTTATGAACAAAAGGAAGCATCTTAGGGGTTGAAACATTTTCTTCCACTTAGAATTATTGAATTGTAACCTGTCATGTGGTCTTAGGGGGAAAGGCTAATGAAATATGTAACATATGAAAGAACAGCTGGAGGATTATCTAATAGCTTTGTGCATACTATTTTTATGTAGCTTGTTAGTGATCTATTGTGTCTCTCTCCTGTGAACTGTGTGAGGGCAAATGGGCTTAAATCCTAGCAGGGGATTCTGACTTCTGAGGCTGGCTTTTAAAAACATTCTATCTGGGGAGGTTTTTAGGTTAAAAATAAAGGACTTCTTAACTGTATATACTATGAGATGGTAAAACACATTTCTGGGCAAGTTATAGAATCCTCTTCCCCATTATCTTTTAGGATAGTGAAGATTCCCAGGTGTCACCAAAGCCTTGTCATCAAAACTCACCTTAGCTGGAACCAAGAAAATATATGAGATGATCTTTAGTAGGCCTTTCAGAAACATATCTCCTACCATCAGTCCACTGTAATTCATAGCTCCTGGCATTGGCTACCCCCATTTCCCAGGTTCAGGTGAAGTGACTTAATATAGAAATGGGGGAGTCTGCTGTTTTAGTTGGTGTCATTTTGTTTCTCCTTTAAAAACCGTATTTTGCATTTCTGATATGCGCTAACTTATGCCTGCAGTAGACATTAGTGTTAAATGATGAAGCACAAAGAGGCTTACTACATGGATGAAAGTACATTTACTTTTCCAGTGGTCCCTGGCTGGTGTCAGCAAAAGGCCCCAAAGGGTAAGACATCACAAAATGATAAGCATTCAGGGCTGAAGATGGAGCTTCTAAATCTGAAGTTAGATGCAGTGAGAAGCAGTCACAGCACACATTAGAAGACAGGGTTTGGTATTTACAGAAGCCAGAGCTTTATTTTTCCTGTGGAATGCCAAATGAGCTATAAATGTTTCTTCTGCCGATTAGAAAGTCAGCTAGCTGGTTATACATGAATTAGAGAAGTATTGATACATGAAAACTGACCCAAGAAGCAGCCGCCCCTTTTCTGGCCCAAATTTGTATCATTTTCTTTTTATACCATTAAGCAACATCCTAGGAATATATGGCTTATTTTCAATTTGTTGCATTTTTTAAAATTCTTATTTATTCATTGATTTTTTTCTTTGGTGCTTTTATTTGTTGTTCTGTTAGATATAATCATATTTCCATCTGTATTTGCTCACTTTACTAATTTTGGGGAGGACTTAAGGGGCCAAACTGTTATTAATGAGTTATATGTTATTAATTAGCATAATAACTATTTCAAAAATAATTGATGTATAATAGTTGAGTATAACTATTTAATGTGAGGTCCCCAAGCCAATTAAAGTGTGCTAATATAAAAAATATACTTCTTTTTATTAAGAATTGTTATTACTCTGTGGCTTCCCTGTAAATACCAATGACTGATTGCATCCAAACTAGTATCAGTTATACCTAAAAAAATCAGGAAATATTAGTTATAATGACACCAATGCCTGGTTATAATTGTATTTTGAACAATTTTTTTTGCAGCCTTTTTATTTGTAGATGTTGTTTTTGTTTTTCTTTTACAGTCTAACAGTATATTTTCTGTTTTGAAGTTGGTGATATATGCGGGGCCTAACACAAACAGTAGGAAGGTTGCTGAATATGGAGGCAACACACTGGGATATGGCAGCCGTAGTGTCTTAGGAACTGGTTGGCCGAAAGACTTGGTGAAGGTATGGTATCCAGTCATAATCGCTTCCTAGAAAAGAAAATGAACTTGCAGTCCTCACAGGTCCAAGTACTAACTGTAATCCCAGAAAAACATTTGCCCTGGGGGCTTTTGTTGAGGTGGGGCCACCTTACTAGGCCTGTCACCTCACTCCTTCTATTCAGAATGATCCTCCTTTCACTTGTAGGACATCAGACCCCTGTTCACTCCCTTTCACAAGTTGCTCCATGGATAGAATTTGTCACAGCATTTTCTTCCTTGTTGATTAAAAGGGTTGCTAGATCTTTTCCAGCTTAGTTCTCCTCTGTACTCCCTGTTGACAAGTACCCTAGAACCACAAGGCCATTGCAGTGTAAAAGTATTGAGTTAATGTGTTCAGATGAATTTGGGCCTTTGGAGCAAAAACAATTATCCATTCTCAAACTGATGAAATGAGTGCCATGCTTTGTAATTCGGCCCTCAAACTACTTACTGTGTATCTGCCTGGGATATGAATATAAACTGAAATGTCTGTTAAAACCCAAAAATGTCCCCAAAGTCTATTCCCAGGGCCTTTATTTCATATACGTTATGGACCCTCTTTAATTCAGCCATAGATGGCAAGCCATTTGTTAGAAATTATGGCCAGGTGCAGCTGCTCACACCTATAGTCCCAGCACTATATCACTCAGGTGATCCGGAGGATCACCTGAGGTCGGGAGTTTGAGACCAGCCTGGCCAACATGGTGAAACACCGTCTCTACTAAAAATACAAAAATTAGTCAGGCATGGTGGTACGCGCCTGTTATGCCAGCTACTCAGGAGGCTGAGGCAGGAGAATCATTTAAACCCAAGAGGCGGAGGTTGCAGTGAGTCAAGATTGCGCCACTGTACTCCAGTCTGGGCGACAGAGCGAAACTCCATCTCAAAAAAAAGAAAGAGAGAGAGAAATTATGCTCAAGGCCAAGCAAGGTGACTCATGCCTGTAATCCCAGCACTTTGGGAGGCCAAGGTGGACAGACTGCTTGAGCCCAAGAATTTGAGACCAACCTGGGCAACATAGTGAGACCTCGTCTCTACAAAAAAAAAACAAAAACAAAAATTAGCTGGGCATGGTGCCGCACACTTATAGTTCCAGCTACTCAGGAGGCTGAAGTGGGAGGATTGCTTGAGCCCAGGAGGTTGAGGCTGCAGTGAGCCATGGTTGTGCCACTGCACTCCAGCCTGGGTGACAGAGTAAGACCTTGTCTCAAAAAAAAAAAAAAAAAAATTATTCTCAAGATTTGATTAACCTTTACTTTGATCTTGCTAATGGGCAACTGTGGCCCATTTCACAGATGCCTCATCCCAAAGGCTACCTCGTCAAGAGAGACACTTAAAGGACTGGGTGTCTAAATGAAAGGGAATGGAATTTGAATCAAAAAGCAAGTGAGAAAAGGAGTGAAATATTGCTGTGGTCCTTTTTGAAAGTAAACCTCTGAAATTCATTGCTCTTTTGAAAATTGTGTATCTTGTTTTTAAAGTGCATTTCCCACCCCCCTCTTAAATTTTAAGGTGGAAGGAGATACAGTCACCTTCTCCTTTGAAATGAGAAGTGGCCGTGAACACAACACTCCTGATAAAGCCATGTGGGGCTTTGCTTGCACAGTTCGCGCTCAGGTACTTGAATCTAACCACTGCCGTGGACAAAATGTACTATCTGCTATGTGCCTTGATTACATACATCATATTTGCCTTGGAAACAGGGCAGAATATGAGTCACTCTTTCATCTTTCTCTTCTAGTTGGCACTAGTCAACTACTAGCAGCTAGTAGTACTTTTACAGAATAAAACTAGCCATGACCTAATATCAGCTCAGCAGCACAGAAATACATCTATTGATTGGGGCTGCGTCTTCAAAGCTTGGGGAGGTGACCTGACCCCAGCATCTTTCCATAGGGCAAAGAGGACTCAATAGAACTTAATAGAAATAAGCACTTGGATCCTGGGTTTTAAGAGTAGTTAAGCATCCAGCTGAGCATGGTGGCTCACACTTGTAATCCCAGTACTTTGGGAGGCTGAGGCGGGCAGATCAACTGAGGTCAGGAGTTCGAGATCAGCCTGGCCAACTTGGTGAAACCCCGTCTCTACTAAAAGTACAAAAATTAGCCGGGTGTGTTGATGGGCACCTGTAGTCCTAGCTACTTGAGAGGCTGAGGGAAGAGAATCACTTGAACCGGGAGGCAGAGATTGCAGTGAGCTGAGATCGTACCACTGTACTCCAGCCTGGGTGACAGAGTGAGACTCCGTCTCAAAAGTTAAAAAAAAAAAAACAAAAACCAGAGTACTTAAACATCCTACTGACCCCTCCAGTTGCCTGATTCCAAAAACGTATTTTAGATTTTGATGTTTCTTAAGCTTAACCACGCTAAGACTCTCCAGAGTGACATTAACTGCTAGAATGTAAGCTCCATGAGAGCAGGGATCTTCATTTCATTCTCCAATGTATCTCAGGCACCTAGAACAATGGCTGGCACACAGAGGACACCCAGTAAATATTTCTTGAATGAATTCACTGCAGTCATTGACAATATCACAGTTTGAGCACAGGATGGAAGTGAAAAAACAAAATAGTGGTTTATACTTAGGTAGGCACAACAAAGAGGAAGCTATCAAAGAGTCAGGCTTCTTTATTTCATTTATACTATTTATCTGATTTGTACTACTGTATATGGGGTCTGATCAACTATTTTCTCTTCAGAATTATGTTGAGACTTCACTCTGGTCATTGCAGTACCACCATCTAGTCATGATTTGGGTGCTGTACCTATGTTCCCTAGCAGTGATACTCGATGCTGCTCTGTAGAACCCTGTGGTTGGGAACAGTGCAGTGTGGGGCAGCACAGGTAGCAACCTCTGCCAGTGTACACTGACCATTGTGGTTTACCCCTGTCTGCATTGTAGGAGTCTTCGGAGGATGTCTCAGGAGGCTTGCCCTTTCTGGTAGACCTGGCTTTAGGTCTGTCTGTGTTAGCTTGTTCCATGTTAAGAATCCTGTACAATGGACCAGAAATTACCAAAGAAGAAGAAGCCTGTCAGGAGCTATTGCGGTCCAAACTTTTACAAAGGTAACAAAAAGGTTGAATTTGAGCTAGTGTTGCCTGCAAAGGAAAAAGGACTTTATGTGGAAAAATCCTTTTGGTACATTTCCAGGGTGATTGTGCCTACTGCCTGGCAATCTCATGGGTGTCATTGTGTCTAAGAAATAAGATGAAAATTACACCATAGTGCTTTCTGGCCCTTACTTTACTAAATTTAAGATTACATCTTTGAACTGCATAAGCTTTTCTCCGACACAATTATTGTCTAATTAAATTGAATGATCCCCAAGAGGATGAGTGGATGTGTGATAAAGCAAACACAGCAAATGTTTATTGTACAATCTAGACAAATGTGTCTGTGGACATTAACCATGTCATTCTTTCAGCTTTTCTGTGCATTTAAAAGTTTTAATGATTAAATATTGGGGGGGAGCTAGATCCCCAAAGATGGGCTTTCATACAATGCTCATTTTTCTTTAGCTTCTGGAGAAGGTTTGATGAGTAATTAACACAGAATGTGATTCTTCATATGTTTGATGTGTCTGCAAACATCCAATAGCTTTCCAATAATCTTGATAAGAGAGGAAGTGAAGAGCCTCTTTTCTGTCTGCTCAGGTGCCAGTGGCAGGTGGAGGCCAATGGCGTGATCTCCCCTGCCCTTACTCCGAGCCCCTCTCCACTGCCTCTGACCATAGAGGAAGACAGAGAATTCACCTACCCCTCTGATGTCCTCGTGCCTCCTGTTGGAAACTACTTTGATCTGCCTCGGATCAGGCTGCCTCCAGGAATCATGATAAAGCTCAGGGAAATTTCTGGGCGTGCTAGACCTCAATTTAGACCAAGTATAAAGTATGTTGCTGTGTAGTGTTTTACTTTTCCCAGTAGGAAAAAAAGTTTAAACAATTGAAATGGGTGTATTTCTTCTGTGGTATAGTAAATGAAACTTTAATTTTATGTTTACTCTATGAGTGTTAAAATTAACCGAGTCTGGAGGGCCCACCAGGCAGTATTCCAGATTAGGGGCTCTCAAAATTTGGTCCCCTAGTCAGCAGCATTGGCATCACTTGGGAGCTTGTTAGTTCTTGGACCCCATTTTACACCTATTGAATCAGGAGGTCTGAGGATGGGGCCCAGCTTAACAAGTTTCCCATGTGACTGATACATGCTAAAGTGTGAGAAGTGCTAGGTTTATCTCTAGTGTTTTGACCTTCTACTAGCAGTCAGCCTCTACTTTACTTTCCAGAGTCTAGAGATATGTGTTTATTTTTGATGCCTAGAGAAATGGTGAGGAGTTCTGTAATCTAGAATGTACAGACTTACAGTTACAAATGTCTGTGGTATTCTTGCTTAAAGTCAAGTCTGTTTTGCAGGCCTCTGCTCTGCCTCCTGAGGCAGGATTTCAGAGAGAAAACTTGGAGAATATATGAAATTTGAAATGAAAAAAATACAGAAAACACTATTGTTTTCAGCCCAACATCCATATGCACTGAACACTGCAGGCCATAATACTGCATAAAATTAATTAGTGGATAGATGCTGCTGAAGATCCTTTCTTAGCCTTAGCCCTCTTCCAGCTCTAATATGTCTCTAACTCAAAATATAGCAATCATAGAAAATGAAGTCTTTTTTTTTTTTTTTTTTTTGAGAGGGAGTCTCGTTCTGTCACCCAGGCTGGAGTGCAGTGATGTGATCTCGGCTTACTACAACCTCCGTCTCCCAGGTTCAGGAGATTCTCCTGCCTCAGCCTCCTGAGTAACTGGGATTACAGGGACATGCCACTATAGCCAGCTAATTTTTGTGTTTTTAGTAGAGACGAGGTTTCTCCATGTTGACCAGGCTGGTCTCGAACTCCTGACCTCAAGTGATTCACCTGCCTCGGCCTCCCAAAGTGCTAGGATTATAGGCTGAAGTCTCTTTACTCTTGATTTTCAGCTTTATCAGCCAATGTCAGTTTTATCAGTTAATATACTAAATTATTTGCCAACATAAGACTCCCGACAGTGCCATTATACTATGCATACCTCTTACTCTATTGTAACAAAGGAGGTGTGGTGAATATTTAATATCTTTAGATCAAAGCCTAAGTTCTCCAACCTATAAAATACTCTCTTGGGCCTGGGGCATGGTGGCTCATGCCTGTAATCCCAATACTTTGGGAGGCCAAGTCAAGAGGATTGCTTGAGCCCAGGAGTTCAAGACCAGCCTGAGCAACATAGTGAGAAACCCCCATCCTAAAATTTTTTTCTCAAATTAGCTGAGCATGGCAGCATGCACCTGTAGTCTCAGCTACTCAGGAGGCTGAGGCAAGAGGATCCCTCGAACCCAGGAGTTTGAGGCTGCAATAAGCCATGATTGCTCCGCTGAACTGCAGCCTAGGTGACAGGGGGAGAGACCCTGTCTCTAAAAAAATTAAAAATAAAAATAAAATACAGTATTGAGAAGTTGAGAGCATGGCATACATCTGACTAATTTCCATTGTGGTCACAGAGAAGTAATTCAGCCAGACGTGATGGAGGAAATGGTGGTATCTTGTGTTATTAAACACTTGAACTTGGTTGATGCACTGCAATCTCTAATAAATTTCCAATATCAAGAAGAACATGCTGAAGAATATGATTTATTGTGTAAAATTATGGGAGAGACTTTTAAGAAGCTCAATGCCATGGAGAGACAGCTGCAGGTAAATGTCTGATAACTGTTGGAAATAATTTCTTTCATGGAAATTTAAAGAAATTTAGAATGTGATCTAATTTTTAAAATTACTATTGTGACTAAAATTTTGAATTGTACTTGTTTTTATTTTGCATCTATTTTAATGTATTTATTAGAGTGTTGCAGAACTGGAACAAAAATGGCAAAGTGAAGTTGATGATGCCATGCAGGGGAAACTGGAGAACAACATGCCTTTCTTTTATGATTACCATTTTAATGAGGTGAGCAAAGTGTATGATTTGTCCCTGGGGCATTGTGTGTGTGTATGTGTGTGTGTGTGTGTAGAGGTACAATAATGTCATTTCCTAAAATGTTGCACACTCCAAAACTGTACCCATTCTTTAAAAGAGGTTAAATGAAAATTGATTAGATCAGCATGCAGTATACAAATAATTACTCATGAGGTTGTTTTTCTAAATGATTAATAGTTTTATAAAGATATATAAGGAAGTTGTCATCATGGTCAAATTTTGCTTTCAAGCCTTAAAAAACAAAAAATAGGCAAAATTATAAGCCCTGAAAGAATTCCCAGAAAGTAGTGAATGCCATTCTTAATCATTAAAATATCAAATAATAACTTACAAATGAGTTTCAAGCATAGAAATATGGACCAAAGGTGGTGGTTTTTCTCTGAAATTTTCTGTTCATTTTAATATATGTATAGTAAAACTTGGTTCTTGCAGATCCTGCATACATCTTTTTTTTCTTTAGAACAAAATGAAAGAACTAGAACTTTTGTGTTCAATGAAGGAAGTCTCCTTTGATGGGAATGATCTTGAAAACATGGTCCTATCACTGAGGTTAGTGGTATTAATAACTATTAAGGCTATTATCACCTTGATGCTCAAAACACATTGTAAAGGTCTAGTCTCTTAATAGATATATTTTTTTATATTGTGAACTTACTAAATATTTTAGAGTTGGAACTCATTTGGTAAATTGGAAGTTTTGGTTTTAACCTTCAAAAGTTAGCATAGGCATTTGAAACAGAAAAAGAAACCAGAAGTGGCCAGATTTTCTAACACTGTTCCTTGGATGAGGAAACAGGGAAGTAAGTTGATTAGGTTACTTTTGCTTAGTTTCCCCTGTGTCTTCTCTTATTCTTTGTAAACATTTTTTTTAATGGTTGTTTTTGGTAAGCTAGAGAACAACTCAATGCACATCAATCTTTCTTTATAGGGAGAAGTTCCTACAAGAAGTGAATTCTCTTATTCAGAAACCCTCACACCCACTGGCTAAAACAAAGACGTTAGTGAAGAGTTTAATGAACCGAGCCGAGCTTTTGCTGCATGTCACCATCGCGGCCCAGTCAGGCCTCACAAGAAGCATCTCTGGGACCCCTGCTGAAACACCAGGTACTGCTCAAAGATAGCCCCTAATTGGCTTCTGGTCCTACTCTGTTCATATAAGACACGTCAGCTATATTTTGAAAAATTCACTCTTCGGTACTCCAAGAAAGGAAAACAAAAGGAAATTTTAACATATTTAGTTTTGCCTTATACTTTCTCTACAAAGCACTTGAGTGACAAAAGAAAAACAAAGAAATACTTGTATGTCATTAAATTCCTGTGGTCAACTTCTTGTTTCTTTTATATTATTTTACTTTTTGAGACTGAGTCTCGCTCTGTCGCCCAGGCTGGAGTGCAGTGGCGTAATCTTGGCTCACTGGAACCTCCGCCTCCCAGGTTCAAGCAATTCTGCTTCAGCCTCCCGAGTAGCTGGGACTACAGGTGCATGCTGCCATGCCTGGCTAATTTTTGTATTTTTAGTAGAGACGGGGTTTCACTATGTTGGCTAGGTTGGTCTTGAACTGCTGACCTCAGGTGGTCCGCCCGCCTTGGGCTCCCAACATGCTAGGATTACAGGTGTGAGTCACTGCGCCTGGCCCTGTTTTTGTTTTCATAGTAACATATATAATTAGATTTCATAGTATCATATACAATTAGTGAACATCATGAATCTTGTAACATCATTTTTCCCTCTTTACTTGAAGCTGAGTTTGCATTTCATCTTTAGTAATTATGTGGAACCTTGTGCTATGACTTCCTGGGAGTTAACTTTTTCTAGGTCACATTTTATTTATTTACTTTTTTTTTTTTTTTTTTTTGAGATGGAGTCTCGCTCTGTTGCCTAGGCTGGGGTGCAGTGGCATAATCTCTGCTCACTGCAATCTCTGCCTCCCGGGTTCAAGCAATTCTCCTGCCTCAGCTTCCCAGGTAGGTGGGATTACAGGCACTTACCACTATGCCCAGCTAATTTTTGTATTTTTAGTAGAGACAGGGTTTCGTTATGTTGGCCAAGCTGGTCTTGAACTCCTGATCTCAGGTGATCTGCCCACCTCAGCCTCCCAAAGTGCTGGGATTACAGGTGTGAGCCACCATGCCCAGCCTAGGTCACATTTTAATTGTTAGCCTAAAAATGCATCTCTCAGGAAAATCATTGAGTCTTCTTACTTAAGACAGGATCTGTAACATGGCACAGCCCACAAGCATTCATTCTTAACCTAAGAGATAAAATTAAATAAACATGTTCTTAAATGGAAGCGTCCATGTTACATAGCCCCATTGCCCAGTGAGCAGTAGGGAGCAGGCAAACTTGTTTTCATCCCAGCTGGTCATCTAAGGCTCTTCTCACTTGGGATTTGAAGTCTAGGAGGACTCCCAAGGTCTCACTCTGTAATACAGGTTCTCCCTGAGAACTTCAGGGGAAGACACAGGTTTGGGAGAGAGACGTGTGCTGAGTGTGTGGTACAATCACATGCCAGGATGGTCTGCTATACACATAAGCCCTTGGTAAAGGTCTTGTATATAGACCTGACCACTTGGTAAGGCTGTTAGTACTGTCCCAGAGGCTCTTGACCTCAGAGATAACAGTATCTTCAAAAATTATATACTTTTTAAATATTTAAGCTGTCTAACCACTCTTAAGACAGATACAAAATGGTTTTCTCAGCTGGGCACAGTGGCTCATGCCTGTAATCCCAGAACTTTGGGAGGCCAAGGCAGGAGGATCGCTTAGACCAGGAGTTCAAGACCAGGCTTTGCCGCATAGCAGGACCTGGTCTCTACAAAAAAACATGAAAATTAGCCACGCATGGTGGTGTGCACCTGTAATCCCAGCTACTTGGGAGGCTGAGTTGGGAGGATTGCTTGAGTCCAGGAGTACAAGGCTGCAGTAAGCCATGATTGTAGCACTGCACTTCAGCCTGGGCAACAAAGCAAGACCCTGTCTCTAAATAAATAAATAAGTGAAAATTTTAGAAAAATAAAACAAAATGGTTTTTTTCTGCACTTTCTCAACACCTTTTTTCTTAGCTAGTCTTGACGTATAGTTTTATCTTCTTTCCATTTAAGGGTTGTTTTATAAAACAACTATTTCCCTGGACAGGGTTAAGGAGTATGTCTTATAGAAAGACCCATTCAGATTCCAACTCAAGTGTGATATTTATTCCTACCAACTATGATCAAAGCAGAGGTATCATCAAATGACAGTAAATCAGCTAAATAAATCTGAGGTTAAAGCGGGGATAAAGGCCATCTCTGAAAAAAATGGATTTGGATGTATTTGAATTAAGAAATTTGGGCCAGGTGTGGTAGCTCACACCTGTAATCCTGGCACTTTGGGAGGCCAAGGTGGGCGGATCACTTGAAGTCAGGAGTTCGAGACTAGCCTGGCCAACATGGTGAAACCCCATCTCTACTAAAAAAATACAAAAGTTACCTGGACGTGGTGGTGCACGCCTGTAATCGCTGCTACTTGGGAGGCTGAGGCAGGAGAATCACTTGAACCTGGGAGATGAAGGTTGCAGAAAGCCGAGATCACACCACTGCACTGCATCCTGGGTGACAGAGCAAGACCCATCTCAAAAAAAATAAGAAATTAAAAAATATTAAAAAAGAAATTTGTGCTTTCTGGCAATTACTTGCTATGTCCTCCTTGCTTTTTAGAATGCTTAGGTTAAAGTGAACATTGATAGCTATGAAATTAAATGAATTTTTCAGCTTTTCTTTGGGAAACCAATTTAATAAAAAGATTTTAATTTTTTTAAGTTAAAATAATTTTTAACCTAATACTTAGGTTAAAAAATTGATGTAAAAACCATCAGTAAGGCCGGGCGCGGTGGCTCACGCCTGTAATCCCTGCACTTTGGGAGGCCGAGTCGGGCGGATCACGAGGTCAGGAGATCGAGACCATCCTGGCTAACATGGTGAAACCCCGTCTCTACTAAAATACAAAAAATTAGCCGGGCGCGGTGGCGGGCGCCTGTAGTCCCAGCTACTCGGGAGGCTGAGGCAGGAGAATGGCGCGAACCCGGGAGGCGGAGCTTGCAGTGAGCCGAGATGGTGCCACTGCACTCCAGCCTGGGCGACAGAGTGAAGACTCCGCCTCAAAAAACAAAAAAAAAAACAAAAAAACCATCAGTATGCTGTGCTAGCTAGATTGGTGGCTGAACTGTGATAGAAAGCAAAGATACACTTAAACTGTTGGGTAGTTCTGTGTTGCATTTGGCTATTGTACAGATAGCAGAAATGTCAGCCTTTTAATTCCTTTTTTTCCAGCTTGTAAATCAGCTTCTGAAACAAAAGTGATATCTCATGCTGTCAGGCAGCCTGTTTTTCTTCGCAGCATGTCAGCTCCTTCTGACCTGGAAATGATTGGTAATGAAGATTTGGAATTTACTAGAGCAAATCAGAGGTAAATGGCTAATGGCCAGGGTTGGGTTCCCACATGCAGCTGAATGCATTCATCAAAACAAGCTCCCTGAGTGTGTTTCTCGTCTTGCCAGTCTGTTCTATGTTCCCTGTAGGCGTCGCCACGTGACCAGCCACCGCAGCAGCTCCTTTACACTCCTGCAGTCGCTGGCCATTGAGGACAGCAGGGACAAGCCCACCTACAGTGTCCTGCTAGGGCAGCTGTTTGCTTTCATCGGCACCAACCCTGACCAAGCTGTACGTTATGTTTTGCAGGCTCCCGATGAATAGCACCTAACAGCATGAGGGGTCTTGGGGCAGTTAGCAGGAGTCAGGTGTCCTTCCTTCTTGTGCATTTCAGGTGTCCAGCAGCAGTTTTCTTTTGGCTGCACAGACAAGGTGGCGGCGGGGAAACACTCGCAAGCAGGCACTGGTGCACATGCGGGAATTGCTGACAGCTGCCGTGCGAGTCGGGGGAGTGACACATCTTGTGGGTCCAGTGACAATGGTCCTTCAGGGAGGACCCAGGTTAGTTGTTTCTGTTAGTTTATACTGTCCTTTCTAGAATGGTCAGAGCCATTCCAAAGATTATTCCTGGGGCCCAGACATAGGCATAGTATTTGCTAATGTTTTCCTCTAAAATATTTATATAAAAGTGGTACATGATCTTGCAAAAAACTCAACATATTAATAGAATGTAAAACTCTTGGTATTCACCATTTTCTCCTAAATTCCACTCTGTCCATTAAGCAGCTGTATAATTCTTTTTGTACACATAAATGTGTTTGTGTATAAATTTTTTCAACTTAATTCAGATTATATTATCCGTGCCTTTCTATAACCACGGTTGTTTTGCTCAGTATGTCTTAGATATCTCAGGTATCTGTTTTCATATCAGTACATATAGGTCTGGTCTGCTTTATCTTTTTTTTATTTGACATAGCATCTCACTCTGTCTCCAAGGCTGAAGTGCAGTGGCACAATCTCAGCTCATGGCAGCCTCCGCCTCCCGGGTTCAAGTGATTCTTGTGCTTCAACCTCCCAAGTAGCTAGGATTACAGGCACATGCCACCACACCTGGCTAATTTTTATATTTTTAGTAGAGATGGAGTTTCACCATATTGGCCAGACTGGTCTTAAACTCCCGAACTCAGGTAATCTGCCTGCCTCGGCCTCTCAAAGTACTGTGATTACAGGCATGAGCCACTGTGCCCAGCCTTTTTTTTTTTTTTTTTTTAACAGGTTCTCATTCTGTCACCCAGGCTGGCATGCAATGACGTGATCATGGCTCACTGCAGCCTTGACCTCCCCAGGCTCAAGCGATCCTCCCACTTCAGCCTCCCAAGTAGCTGGGACTATGGGCGCATACCATCATGCCCAGCTAGTGTATTTATTTTTTGTAGAGACGGGGTCTTGCCATGTTGCTGGGGCTGGTCTCAAATTTCTGGGCTCAAGGGATCCTCCTGTCTCAGCCTCCCAGACTGCTGGGATTAAAGGCATGGGCCACCATACCTGGCTGCTTTAAGATTTTTAAGAGGTCATAGATATACATTATATAGATGACCTTTTCTAAAAAATTTAACTCATCCTCTACTGATGGACACATAGGTTCATTTGTCTTTATTTCTTTTGTTTTTGTTTTGTTTTTGCATTAACAACCTCGTTTTACCTATATTTTTGTATATTTCCATGACTGTTATTACTGAACCAATTTCTAAAAATAATCGTAGATACTAACTCTGAAGATGGTTTTATAACTCATTTGTGAGTTGTTCTATATGAGTTTCCTATTGGGCTTCAAAGATCTTCAAGTAGAAATAGAAAATGCATTTCTCTACAAGCCCTGGACTTGAGCTGCTGGAGGTGAGGAATTCTGGCCAATAGGCAGAGAGGGTCCAGTGACTGGAGGAAAATGGGTTAATTAAGGCTGAAGTGAGTATCTTGAGAAATCTTGAGATCCTCCCACCTCAGCCTTCCAAGTAGCTGGGACTACAGGAGAGGTCAGACTATTCTTTGGAAACAAGTCCAAAATTTCAGTGGCTTAAAAGATAAAATTTTTTTGGGCACAGTGGCTCACACCTATAATCCCAGCACTTAAGGAGGCCAAGGCAGGAGGATCACTTGAGGCCAGGAGTTCAAGACCAGCCTGGGCAATATAGTGAGACCCTGTCTCTACAAAAAAGAAAAAATTAGCCGGAGTGGTGGGGCATGCCTGTGGTCCCAGCTACTGGGGAAGCTGAGGCAGGAAGATCGCTTGAGGCCAGGAGGTTGAGACTGCAGTAAGCTATGATCGCATCACCCTGCACTTCAGCCTGGGCAACAGAGCAAAACCTTATCACAAAAAAATAAAAAGAAGACAGAATTTTAGGTCTTGCTTCTGTTCGTGATGGGTTCATGCTGGCTCGTGGTAATCACAGAGGAGGAAACCACCACCTCGAGAGCTGCCAGGCTCCTTGTCAGAACTCTCGCTCATTGACCAGACTTGCCACTGTCCAGCCAACCACAGGGTGCCCAGAAAGAAACAGTGAAAAGCCCTCATGATTACCATAGCCTATTTCCAGAATTTAATTTCTCCATAAAACTGGCAACACTATTCCTTTTTCCCTCGATTATTGTCATTTGTCGGAAACTTGAAAAAAAATGCAGAAAATGCCAAAAAATAAAATGAAAATCACCTACAAGTACACCCTCTTAAGGTAACATCTGTTAACGCTTTAGTGTCTGTGTTCTAACCATAGATGGCTCCCGTAGTGTTCTTAGTGGTTCTGTAGCACTGCATTATATGCAGTGAAACTTTATATTATATGCTTGAAACTTTAACAAATTCCTTATTTTTGAACATTAGGTTAGTTTTGCTTGTTGGTTTTTGCTATTGTAAACAATACGATGTTGCATGTCTTTGTAGACAAATCCTGATAGTCTCAGTTCTAAACTAATATTAATTGGTATAGAATCAGCCCTATATTGTGTTTTTTTCATTGTGAAAGTTTTATTTTTTATCAACTAGGCTTTCATCATCTGCTAATAACTGAAGTGGGAACTCAAAAACAGACACTTAGCTAATCCATTTGAGCTTTAGTTGTCTCATTAATAAAACTGCCTTGGCTAGGCACAGTGGCTCAGGCCTGTAATCCCAGCACTTTGGGAGCCGAGGTGGGAGGATTACTTGAGCTCAGGAGTTTGAAACCAGCCTGGGCAACACGGTGAAACATCATCTCTACTAAAAGTAAAAAAAAATTAGCTGGATGTGGTGGTGTGCATCTGTGGTCCCAGCTACTTGGGAGGCAGAGGTGGGAGGATCACCTGAGCCCAAGAGATCAAGGCTGCAGTGAGCTGTGATTGTACCACTGCACTCCATCCCAGGTAACAGAGCAAGACCGTGTCTCTAAAAAAATAAAAAAGAAAAAGCACTTACAGTATTCAATGCTACTTAGATTATTGTAGACATGTCTGAAATAACTGGTTTCATGATCAAATATGTTTGGAAAATGTTGAATGTCCTCTGCTTGTAGAGATGCCATTCACTTTACCCTTACTGAAGGCTCTGAAAAGTCTCCAGTAGTCTGTTTTAATTTCCCTAACCCAGGATTTCCCAGACTTTTCTGGAGTGTGGACCACTGTTTTGGAGGCACTCCTAAAACTTCTGTCCAGCAGTCTTACATAGTTTGGGAAACACTGAGCTGGATGTTCTCCAAGATCCCTTCAGTTCTGGATTCATCCAGAAACTCTAGAGTTTCTCAAGAGGCCTCTCCTGCTCACATGGTCACAGCCACTGTTCTTGACGTGGTTCAGGAAGCCTGAGCTTTGGTTTCTCTTTCACAGAATTGAAGAACTCACATGTGGTGGGATGGTGGAGCAGGTCCAGGAAGCCTTTGGCGAGACCATGACCTCCGTTGTGTCTTTGTGTGCTCGTTACCCTATCGCTTGTGCAAATAGCATTGGACTCTTATGTACCATACCTTATACCAGGTAAATACGGAAAGGCCTTTTGTTGTATGTAAGTTACACTGATGTATAGTCAATTAAGTGAAAGTATTTTTAATATTAAAAATTGGATTTTTTGCTTTCATTATCCGGAACTAGCTATAGAAAACTTTTCTCCTGAAAGACACTTAAGGTTCCTGTGTAAATTTCTTATTATTGAGTTCCTACATGACTAAATGCAGCCATTAGGATTATATTACATTGTGAAGATACAGAGGTTCAAAGAAAAACAAAAGGTCCCTAGGAAATTACTTAAATATTTGGCAGGAATATTTTGCATATGCACATTTATTTCCTCTTTTGGGTCACTTAGTTACTAATTTGAAGATGTCAACCATTCATTGAATCCCCTTAGGACAAAATATATGATTTTTTTACATCACTGCAACATTGAGTTGATTCCATCGATTTTTGCTTTGATATTGTAGATAAATAAATCAGAATTTGAAGTTCCTTGTTAATGAAGGGAATCATCATTATAAGAAAATCATTTTGTGTTTGATTGCACATGGCAGCATCCTAAGTTGTAGGGAAGGAACTACACCAGCATGTTTTATGCCCCTTTGAACCTCACGTAAGAGTTTCCTAAGTGTTGGTCAGTTACGTTTATCTAGTGTAATCCATGACCCTTTGTCAGGAGTGAAGAGAAGTGCCTGGTACGCAGTGGCCTTGTGCAGCTCATGGATCGACTGTGTAGCTTGAGCAGTCAGACTGAGTCCAGCTCCAGTGAGAAACAGACCAAGAAGCAGAAGGTGGCCACCATGGCCTGGGCCGCCTTCCAGGTGCTTGCCAACCGCTGTGTTGAGTGGGAAAAAGAGGAAGGTGAGATGCCGGACTCCTTTCTAGAGCTCACTGATTTCTTCTATTGGTGTATTAGTTTATTAGGTTTTTTATGCTAAATGAGAGAGAGAAAGGCTCCGTTAAATGACATGATCAGATGGGTTAAATCAGTGGATGATTTCATGAGAGACTTTTCCTCAGTGTGGTTCTATGAAAACTTACAGCATTACGATGAGACTAAATATCCCCGTACCCTGAAGGAGTACAGTTATCCCAGGAAATTGAGAAGGTATTTTTTATTCTCTCCCTGTCAACACTGCTAACAGTTTCCAAATATATTTTTTAATTAAAAAAATTTATTAGACACAAGGTCTGTCACCCAGGCTAGGGTACAGTGGTATAATCATAGCTCACTGTAACCTCAACCTCCCTGACTCGAGTGATAAGCGATCCCCGAACCACAGCCTCCCAAGTAGGACTACAGGTGCACACTACCATGCCCAGCTAATGTTTTTTTGTTGTTGTTGTTTGTTTTTAGAGTCAGGATCTTGCTATGTTGCCCAGGTTGGTCTCAAACTCCTGGCCTCGAGCAGTCCTTATGCCTTGGCGTTCAAAAAAACAAATACTTTTTGAAGTGGCTTTTCAGTTGCATTTTCAAGGTGATGTTTCCAGATTTTATTTTTAGTGACCAATCCAAATAAAAAGTAAACCTGGGCTAGGTGCAGTGACACATGCCTATAGTCCCAGCCACTCAGAAGGCTGAAGTGGGAAGATTGCTTGAGCCAGGGAGGTCGAGGCTGCAGTGAGCTGTGATCGTGCCACTATACTCCCTGGGCAACAGAGCGAGACCCTGTTTCAAAAAAAAAAAAGTAAATTTGAAGGATAAATTTCCCCATAAGATTCCAGGCCTGTGTATATAACTTGTTTATTTATCTGTTTATTTGTTCATGATGCATTTTAATGTCTTGAGAGTCTATTATATGCCAGGCAGAAGATAAATAAGGCATTATTCCTCCCTTTAAAAATATGGTCTGGCAGGGAACTAGACTAATAAGCAAATACTTATAGTGTAATCACTGCCACAACTGAGGTGGATAGGAAGTGCAGTGGGAGTGTAGAGGTCCCAGAGACCAGCTGTGCTAGGGATCCAGCAAAGCTTCTCAGAGAAGGTGACATGGGAGTTACTCTTGAAGGATGGAGAAGACTTTCGAGCAGAACAAATAGTGTGTGTAGACTCAGGGATCTAAAAGAGCATGGAAAGTTCAGGAAACAACAAATACTTTTTCATAACTTCTACATGCTTGGGAGGTTCTGGAACTATGGTGAACATGGAAGAATCCAGAAAGGTCTTTTATTATGTTTGGCAAAGTATGAGTTAAAAAATCAAGATGTTTTCATCACCAGTGAAATAGTGATTCTTCACTATCAATCAAAGTATGTTCTTTGATTATATATGGATTAATCATATTCAATTTTCATGAATAGTAATGTCTACTCCCAACATGGGGTTATTTTTAAAATAACTATTATCCTTTTTATGTATACATATTATCTAATGAGGAGACACTATTAGATGGTTCATGAAACATTAAGCAAGATAAATGGACAGGGCTCGCCACCCCCGCAGGCTCACCATGGCACCCTTAGGTTTTCACCAAGTTCTTTTTTTCTTTAACTGTGAAGGTGGCTCCACAGAGGCTGTGCACTCAGGTCTGGCCCGGCAGGTGTCCAGCCTTCTCACCAACCATCTTGCTCGAGCCACAGAGTGCTGTGGCAACCAGGCTGCTGGGAATGATGCGCTCCAGGATGTCCTTAGTCTTCTCAATGATCTCTCAAGGTATGCAAGGTCCAGCCTGGAGCTCTGGGAGAAGCTGGCTTTCCTCTTGAACGATTGGGGTTTCTTTTGGTGGTGGTTGTCTTTTCAAAATAGCTAAATTACTAGGCCATTTTGACACACCCTTGCCTCAAAAAAAAAAAAAAATGGAGGATGAAGTGGTTGAAACATAGTATTTAGTTCTAAAGTTTAAGGATTATTTAGGTGAATAGCTAAATCATAAAATAATATATTATCATTTGCTTTAATACCTTACTGACAGCAGCTGCTAACCTTTCCCATAGATGCAGTTGTATTCATTAACCAAAAATCTTACCCTCATTATAGCAAGATTAAAGAGTAATAAGTCAGGGCCTGTAATTAACTCACTTTCTCATGCTGTGTCTTTAAAAGAAGATATTCTGTGCTGGTTGTATACCCCCTGTGTGAGCCATGAGGCCCATAAAATATCCACGTATGACTGACTGCATGATATTTAGCTTTCTTGGAATGTAGCAGTTTTAGCTGTGGCAGATCCTAGAACACTGAAGGCTGTACAACACTGTGTGATAGCTTTGGTCTTGAGGCACTCATTAAGAAAGAATAAATAACATAAATTCCAAAGAGAACTATTTACAAGTTAATCTCTGTTTCCAGATCCAGTCATTCTCTCTAGCAATCATTTATTATAGAATGCTTCTCCCCTCTCCCATAACCTGGTTTACCAGGATCCAAGCCCCCATTCTATCTGTAACCTCAAGATGGTAGATAAGCTTCTGTAACTCATGGAAAATTCAGTCTTCACTCTGAAGGCTCCTGTGTATACATGTTAAATAAATTTGTGTGTCTTTTTTCCTATTAAAAAAAATGAAAGAATAGATGACAAACTGAAAAGCTCTTAGTTTGAGTTTGTAAGTCTCAGTGCTCCATGAATCACTCTGAATTTAGGATTTCAAGTAAGCATCAGAGATCAGAAAATATTCAAAAATCTTTCTTTTTAAGTATTAGTGTTGTTTGGTTTCATCAAATTTTCCAAAATTCTTAATTCTTCACAGAAGCATAGTGCCAAATTCATGTCTTCCTCATGAAATCAAATTTCATTAGTTTGTTTCATTCAGAGAACTCTTGCTTCTGAATGTCTGTAGATCAACATTTCTAGCACTGTTTACCTTTTCTTCCTTTTTTCCCAGGAGCCACATAGGTAAAGCCATCCTGAGCCAGCCAGCTTGTGTGTCCAAACTCCTCTCCCTGCTGCTTGACCAACGCCCATCTCCAAAGCTGGTCCTTATTATTCTCCAGCTGTGCCGGGCGGCGCTGCCTCTGATGAGCGTAGAAGACTGTGGAAACGTGGAGCTCCCACCCTGGAGCTACTCTGTCCCCTCCTTAAACAGTGAGCAGGAGGATCCCAGCGACCCAGCTTCCAAGATCGCCTCCTTGCTCTTAGCAAAGCTGGCAGATTACGTGGTTCCAGGTGAGAAGCTCCTCAACAGGAGAGTAGCATGGCAGTGCAGCCTTTCTGGGCCCAGTCAGGTCCCCACTTGCATCTGTGCTTCCTGTGATGAAAGACTGAGTGACAGAGAAGGGAGTGGGGACAGAGGAATAGAGAAGGGGGAAGAGAGATTCCAAATCCCAAACCATTATTTTTCATTTTAGCAGAGCCACCAAAACACCACTGCAGTTTTCCTGAACGAGCTTTGTTTTTTACTTAAAGGATGTCAGACAGTTCTTTCTCCAACCGCTTCTGAACCTGACACCACATTGACAAAAACCAGTCCCAAGAATTCCTTGAAAGGAGATAAAGATCCTGGAGAAGAGAGTGAGGCTGTGGATGGCAAGCTCTCGATATTTATCCACAAGCGGGAAGACCAGTCATCCCATGAAGTCCTTCAGCCGTTGCTAAGGTGACCGTAATGATTGTGATAGCTACACGTCCTCAAGCACCACCCATGTCACAGGCACTGTGCTAAGTAAGCCCTGTACATGTATCGACTGCCTCGGCCCTCTTTACACCCCTTTCAGGTAGACACTGTCACTGTGATTCCTGTGGTGACACAGAAAGAAACTGAGGCAGAACTGAAATGCAGATGTAGTCCTCTCTGACCACAAAACCCAAGCTCTGAACCACAACTTGGTGCTCTCTCTCTAAACACAGCTGAGAGCTAAAGCCATGTGGACAATGTATTATTGTCTATGGGAAGTCTCCAGTGTGACTTGGGCTTTGAGGAGGAATAATGCAGTTTGATTTTTAGTTATTGGCACCCTTCAGCTGTCGGTAAATTTAGGTAAACTCCAACTCATTGACTGTGATTTGGAGAAACAAGAGACACTTTTTTAAAACTTTAATTGGTTGAAGTATGAAATGGTATGATTACTCAAGCAGGAAGTAAAAATATAATCATTGCCCAAATACTACAAACCTGCAGGGCTTTGTTAGTGGGATCCAGGGCAACAGGAAGGCTTGCCACATAGCACAAGGGAATTCAGAGCAGGTATTTATGTCTCAGATGAAAGAGGCCTCTCTATACTTAAATGCTTTGACGATGTTGTCATCCTCATAATTGAATCTGCTGTCTGCCATTATGGCAACTGAAAATATTAATGGGACCATGGTATAAACTAAGCAGGATTATGGCAGGTCAGGGCTTACATGAGGAAATCTCCAGGAAACTTTCCTGGACATTGCAATGCATCATAGTACAAATTTAGTGAAAAATTTTTTTTGGAGAGCCAAGTTCAGGAGGCAGGGGAAGCTGAACTGTTAGAAAGGAAGATCCAGTCATTTGCCAAGGGATCACATTTATGGTGTCGTTAAAGTTCCCTCTCCTTGGGGTTTAGATGATGTCCTCAGGCCCTGCCTTTGTTCTGGGTTCATGTCAGTTTTTCATTTTGTGCATTATTTTCATCTGGATTTCTAGATTTACTTACAACTCTGAAAACGCTGTTGTTTTGGGCCCTAAAGTGCTATAATTAAGCAGTAATAAATGATTTCCTTTTTGAGAAATTGAGTCTTACTGTGGCTTTTAAAAGCTAGTGTTAGAGGGCCAGGCATGGTGGCTCATGCCTATAATCCTAGTGCTTTAGGAGTCCAAGGCAGGAGGATGGCTTGAGCCCAGGAGCTCGAGACCAGCCTGGGCAACATAGCGAGATCCCGTCTCTTCAAAATATACAAAAATTAGCCAAACATAGTGGCGTCAGCCTGTGGTCCCAGCCATTTGGGAGACTAAGGTGGGAGGATCACCTGAACCTAGGGAGGTCGAGGCTGCAGTGAGCTGTGATCACGCCACTGCACTCCAGCCTGGGTGACAGAGCAATACCCTGTCTCAAAAAAGAAAAAAAAAAGCTCATGTTAGTGTATAATAGGGCCTCACCATGACTGGGTGGCCCCATGACATGCAGCCCACTTTTGGCAGTGCCTGTAAGGTGTGCTCTGCTCTCTGCCTGCCTTTTTTTAGTAGTTCAGAAGGACGACCTTTCCGACTTGGTACTGGCGCCAACATGGAGAAAGTTGTGAAGATGGATCGAGACATGACCAAGGTAACCTCATGAGGTTAAACCGATTAAACCCGAAATTGTAGAGTATTTGTCATGCTTTAGATTTTCAGAACAAATTAAGAAAAGAAAAATTAGTTCAAGTTCCAACGAAGAGGCAACGTGAGAAATTGAAGTCAGTGCCTTAATTGAGGCCATTTTAGTCAAAATCAGTTTGTCAAAATCAGAACTTTTAGTTTTGACCTAGAAATTTTTTCTTAGCTCTTTTAAGAAAGTTTAATAGTTTAAAGTTGAAAATAGTTTAATAGCCTAAAAATAGTTTGAGATAGGTGAGATAGTTGAAAATAGGTGAAAGGTTGCTAAGAAAATAACAGATAATAAGAATTACAAATACCTTATTAAAAATATAAAAATGGCCGGGCGCGGTGGCTCAAGCCTGTAATCCCAGCACTTTGGGAGGCCGAGACGGGCGGATCACGAGGTCAGGAGATCGAGACCATCCTGGCTAACACGGTGAAACCCCGTCTCTACTAAAAAATACAACAACAAAAAAAAACTAGCCGGGCGAGGTGGCGGGCGCCTGTAGTCCCAGCTACTCGGGAGGCTGAGGCAGGAGAATGGCGCAAACCCGGGAGGCGGAGCTTGCAGTGAGCTGAGATCCGGCCACTGCACTACAGCCTGGGCGACAGAGCGAGACTCTGTCTCAAAAAATATATATCTATATATAAAAAAATATGCCCAGGCTCACACATAATCAAAGGAAAGGAATAAAAACAATAGTAATACATCATTTTCCATCTGTCAGACAAGTAAAGTCAAGAAAAATTAATAATAGCCTTTATTGTCAAGGTGAGGGTAAATAAAGTCTCAAGTGTCCAGGGAGAAACACAGGGTGTTCTTCACAGTTTTGTTTGAAAAAACAAAATAGGCCAGGCGCTTTGGCTCACACCTGTAATCCCAGCACTTTGAGACAGCAAGGCAGGTGGATCACCTGAGGTCAGGAGTTCAAGACCAGGCTGGCCAACATGGCAAAACCCTGTCTCTACTAAAAAATACAAAAATTAGCCAGGCGTGGTGGCAGGCACCTGTAATTCCAGCTACTTGGGAGGCTGAGGCAGGAGAATCACTTGAACCCGGGAGGCGGAGGTTGCAGTGAGCCAAGATCACAGCATTGCGCTCTAGCCTGGGCGACAGAGCAAAACTCAGTCTCAAACAAAACAAAAACAAAAAATAGGATCCACGTACTCATAAACAGGGGATTGGTTAAGAAATTATTACAGTCATATAATGAAATGCTGTGCAACTATGAAAAACAATGAGATAGATCTCCATGTATTGATATGGAAGAGTCTCTGTGATATACTGATAACTGATAAAAGCAAAATGAAAAGCAGCCTGCATGTCGGGGCCCTCTGATACGTATGCCAGAATTTGCACGGAAGTGATCTAGATGACTAACCATTATCTCAGCCTGAATGAGGTCTGGGATGTCTATGGAAATTTTACTCTCTACATATAATATTTTATGTTTGAATTAAAAAAAAAATGAGCGTGGTAATTGAGGGGAAATAGACTTGAAAAATATAGTGCTGGGAAGAATGAAATGAATCTTCTCAGCGTCTTCAACCTCACCCCTAGGGTGGCTGTTGTGAAGTGATTACAGAAGAGGCTGCAGCTGCCCTGCGGAAAGCCACCAAGTGGGCACAGTCGGGCCTCATCGTCAGCATTGGGCCACCTGTAGAGTCTATCAACCCAGAGGCTGTGAGTGGACTATCCACAGGTGACAAAAAGAAAACCGCCCAAACTTCCATTTGCCGAGAGAGGAACTCGGAGCTTGCGAGGTAAACCTTCCACAGGTAGAAGCTATCCACACTCATCTCAGGTTTACTTTGTAATGGGTTTGTTTTTCGTGTTTTAATTTTCTACCATCCTCTTAACCTCTTGGAAATGAGGCCTCCGTCTGCTGTAGTAGTTGCACTCAAGGTACAGCCTGGAGTACTTCAGAGAGTAATGACTATCCAGGTAGATCTGAGGTTGTCATGAAAGAATAGAGGGATGCTCCTGGCTGAGGGGACATTTATAGCCGGAGGATTCTTTTGAGTAGTATTAAAAAACTCTGGTCTTGCTACCTTTATTTCTTGCAAATGGTACATCTCCACTGCGCCAACTGAACAGACACGCACACGCTTCTTTCTAGGAGCAGAAGCAGCAGTTAAGTGTTACCTCTGTGAAGTCGGTTCGAGGTGTTTTGTGCTTGAAAGCCAGGAATAGTTGCAATGCAGTGTCTTTCCCTGATCCTCATGGCTTATAAATAAAGTTCGAGGTCCATTGTTTGAGGCAGTTCTTCAGATACCACAAGGAATATGACACAGTGATTTCTTCCTAATGATAATGCAGCTTCTTGTTTTCTCAGTCAATGGAATCCACTTTTTCTTATGTAAATAGAAAAGGTTTCTCTCTGATGGTAACCCTGAAAGCCACTTCCCTGCTGTCTTAATCATCACTGGGCACTGACACTTTTTCCTGTTGACACTTGCAGGACTGATCCCGTACGTCCCTTCATCAGTGGGCACGTGGCAAACAGCATGGCTGCAGAAGTGATCGCCTTGCTACATAGCTTGCTCATGGCACCTGAATCAAATGCTGCTCAAATATGGACCACAACAGCAGAGAAGGTTAGCACAGTGTTGCTACTCAACTGAGAAAGTAAGAAGTAAGCTAATTAGAGTTAGAATCATACCCAGCAAGGGACATTTTAGTCCATATTCGTCAGATATACCTGTTAACTGACTTTCCCCTGGAATTTGCCTTGCTGTAGTAGTTTCAACTCAGTTAACCTGTATCTCCTGTCACTGCCAGTTCTCATTTTGCAGAAGATAGGACAGTATTCCCCGGGAAAGAGTGACAGGCCTTGTTTCTCTTCTTCTTGCTTATGTTAGATTGGTACTGACATTAGGAGATCATGCAGCACTGGTTTATTGGATTTAAGCGTACTCGCTAAGTCCAAGGAGGCCTCTGTGTGATTTACACTGTCTGAGTGCCCTATTAGTAAGTGATTCATCATTACAAACAGTATCCCAGTTGCCTGAAACTACAGATCTGTAATCAATTCCCGCTTTCCACAGCTACTCTTCAAGTGAACCCCTTATGACATGTCCTGAAGGTAATTGAGTGTTGACAAGTGGACAGTATGCTGGGATGGTTTTCCTTCAGATAAATGATTGTTTCATTTTAGAGGTTTTAGTGACATGATGTTTTATTCTCCCAGTTGTGTATTTCCAGTTTTGTCCAGTTACATAGACAAATATGGGCAAATGTCATTGGCCATACCTGATAGCTTTTTGGTCCCTCACATGTCCAGAGTTCCTTCAATACATGGGACCCAGGCCCTGTTGTAGACACTTTGTCACCCTTGGCATCAAAACAACCAAAGCTTTAACTCCTAGTGCACGGGCTGCTTTTATATTTAGGTTCTGTCTCGAGCACTGATGTACATTCCACAATTGGGGAAATACGCAGAAAGCATTCTGGAAAATGGCAGCAGCAGTGGCAGGAAACTTGCCAAACTTCAGAGAATTGCCCGCCAGGCTGTTGCTGCACTGTGTGCACTTGGAGGCTTCAAAGAGACAATCAAGATAGGATCCGAGGTTCAGGTACCAACCACCATTTTCCCCAAATCATTGCTTCTCCCATACATATAAGCATCCATTGGTTAGCTGATCATCTGTAAGACAAGTATTATCCAACCAGCTGGACAAAAAAACCTGTTTCTTCAAGTTAAATAAGGAATCTGAGAAACTCTTGAATTCAAATCCACACTGTGCTGCACATCATTCAGATATTAATGCAATGCTATCTTAGGTTAACTGCAATACTTGTGTCCTGTAGTGTGATCAGTATCAGTCTTAGAATTGATGATGGAATTAGAATGGAAGGAAAAGAGTGTCTTCTTGCAAAAATTTATTTACCGTTAAACAGCAGTAACAAGTTTTTTGTTTGCTTTGAGACAGAGTCTTGTTCTCTTCCCCAGGCTGGAGTGCAGTGGTGCAATCTCAGCTCGCTGCAACCTCTGCCTCCCAGGTTCAAATGATTCTCCTGCCTCAGCCTCCCAAGTAGCTGGGATTACAGGCACCCACCACCTTGCCCGGCTAGTTTTTGTATTTTTAAGAGATGGGGTTTCACCATGCTGGCCAGGCTGGTCTCGAACTCCTGACTTCAAGTGATCCGCCTGCCTCAACCTCCCAAAGTGCTGGGATTACAGGCATGAGCCACCGCACCTGGCCTAGCAGTAATGAGTTTCTGTTTGAGAGGACAGCACATTGTGATCACCTTGCAGTTAGGTTTTAGGGCCTATAATAAGTCATGTCTAGGGATTGGTATCTGCTACGCTGGTAGTATAAACTACTGTAACGCCAACAATGGCAACTATAAATTTACTCTTTCCTCTTGTGTCATAACACAGCTGCCCACACATCAGAGCTGGTTGGTAGTGCTAATCTATCTCTGTCTCCAGGTTTTAGGTAGAGGAATCTCAGGAAGCATTGGAGTAGTGGCTTCTATCAATGAACAGGAAGGTATAGCTACAGTCAGATTCCCACCCATAGACTGTAGAAAGACTTCGCAAGCGTCAGACACATTGACTATTCCATTGTCTAGACTTTGTGTTCCAAGATCAGAGGTAAGGTGATTTTTAAATGCTTCGTAAAATATCTGCCAATGGTAACTGTACTGCAATGAGTCTATGCACATGCTCAGTGCAGAAGCACAAATGCTTGGTTGTCTTAAATTGTACTTGCGATGTATGTTTATATATTGGTTATAGTTATTTAATGGTAATGCTTATGTGAAAATTTTCATCTAGATGACCAAATTCATTTCTTTGTTCGTTAGGGCTATTCTACAGTATATTTTTAATTGTTTTGATGTGTTTTGCAGTTTTCTGTATGGTGATTTTATTTTTTTAACTGAAAATTTAAGAACTCCAGATAATAATAACACCCTCATTTCTTATAAACTAACTACTTGAATTTAACTTTTTGCCATGCCCCCCACCGCCATCAGGCATTGCCTCTTCATAAACTGTCCATTACTGAGAAGGTAGTACAGGCAGTCCAGTCCATGTTGCTTCCTCAGGAGGGAAGTCTCTCTATTCACACCTCACTTCCTGCAACAGGAGATGGGTCAGCTCCTGTGATGGCAGTCGTTCGGCTCCTTGCTGAAATAAGGACAAGGTGAGTACCCTTCCCATGTTGCTTGATGTGCTGACGTGGTGCAAGCTGACAGAAGAAGGGATCCTTGGTGGGCCCCACCACTCCCAACTTAATGAGTCCACAGCTTGAAGCTCACACTAAACTGAGCAACAGTAACCATTCTTTTACAGTTTTTTCCACAGTTCGTTGCATTCCTTAATTTCTGCAATTTTTGCTGCATTCCCCCATGTCTACACTTCAAAATAAAGTTTAGCTGTTCACCTAAGAAAATAAACATACAAATGAAATGTGATGTATGAAACACATATATAAGGCCCCACTGATTTGCTTTGTTAAATAGAACTTTGTTCCAACACAGGAATAACTCTACTACCTTGAGGCAGGAGAATCGCTTGAACCCAGGAGATGGAGGTTGCAGTGAGCTAAGAGTGCGCCACTGCACTCCAGACTGGGCAACAAGAGCAAAACTGCATCTCAAATAAATAATTAAATAAATAAAATGATTCAGGCCACATTGATACATATCTGGCCTATCACTTTCCAAACTGAAGATGGGAAACCTAGGATATGCACACAGGGGTTGGTGTTGGTCTTTTCCTGCAAATACATTTATTTAGCATTAAATAGCAATAACAAGTGTCTCTTTTTGACAGTGGAACTTCTTTTTTTTTTTTTTTTGACACAGAGTCTCGCTGTGTCACCCAGGTTGGAGTGCAGTGGCATGATCTCGGCTCACTGCAACCTCTGCCTCCCTAGTTCAAGCGACTCTCCTGCCTCAGCCTCCTGAGTAGCTGGAATTACAGGCGGGTGCCACCACCCCTGGCTAATTTTTATATTTTTAGTAGGGATGGGGTTTCGCCATGTTGACCAGGCTGGTCTCAAACTCCTGACCTCTGGTGATCCACCTGCGTTGGCCTCCCAAATTGCTGGGATTACAGGCGTGAGCCACTGTGCCTGGCCAACAATGGAACTTCTTAGAAACTTCTAGTATGTATTTTGCATCAGGTGAGAGTGATCACCATACAGATTTTCCCAGTTTTTGAATCCCTCTTGCTTCCCTAGGGCACATTTAGGAAAAGCTTTTAAGAGACAGTGCTGATTTCTCACCCAGCACTTTGTGTCTCCATTTAGTGGCGATGGCAACCATTTTTCTCTTTTCCAATTCTTCATGCAGTGTCAGCAGTTACTGTGTGGCAAAAGAGAAGTTATTTATATATTTCCAAGACAGTCCAGCTCAGAAAAAAAGCAAGAAGAGTGGGGAGTTTGAACCTTGTAAACTGGGGGACAAAATTGATTGAAATGTTTTTCACAGTTGACTTTTTTAGACAATGAACACTGATGACTTTGAAATATTGTAAATCTTTTAACATTAAGAGCATGCCTGGTCATGGCCCAGCTTTTAGAAGACAGCTTATTTTGTGAAGAATTCATACAACAATGTCCAGCAGCTGTTGAAGTTCTTAACCTGGTAGCCCAGGAATGCAGTGCTGGTAAGTACCTGAACTTTCTTTACCACCCTGTTTTATTGAATTTTCTCAGCACTTTTGCAATTTGATAATGGCATGTTAAGTGTTTTCATATACACACGTCAAAACAGCTGAGCTGTAAGGACAACACCTGTCACAACTCACATGCATCACAGACCTAGAAATGTAAATAAAATGCTTTAATCTATACCAGTTAGGAAATCAGCATTTTTCGATTTAGCTTTAAGACCATGTCAGAGTGTTTTCTTTTCTTCATTCCTATTGATTTGTTGCCTTTATTTACCTATTAGAACTATAATATTTAGGAGCTGTCCTTAGGCCTGGCGTGTACATTTTGACTGTTGTCATTGGCTACACTTGAATTCCCAGTCAAGAGTTTGCACTAACATCCATCCTGGCATGTGTGTGTGTGTCTGTGTGTGTATGGAAAAGTCCAAACAAATAGCAAAATTGAGAGACTAGTATAACGAACCTTCAGGATTCCATTATCCAGTTTCAACAGTTGTCAACTCATAACTGATCCTATTTTATCTGTGCTGCAACCCCTGGAATTATTTTTAATCCTAGATATTATTTTATTCATCAATATTTTAGCATATGTCTCTGAAAAATAAATCTTAAATAACTACCACACCATTATCACCTACCTACATTATTAACAGTAATTTTAAAATATTATTAAGTATCTAAGCTGGGCATGGCAGCACGTGCCTGTAATCCCAGCTACTTGGGAAGCTGAGGCAGGAGGATTGCTTGAGCCCAGGAGTTTGAGTGCAGCCTGGGCAACATCGTGAGACCCTGTCTCTAAAAATATGTGTATATACATATCTAGTCAGTGTTTAACTTCCTAATTTTCCCATAACGATCATTCTTGTTTTTACATTTATTTATTTGAATGGGGATCCAAATAAAGTTTACAAATTGTTACTTTGTTGCTGTGTCTTTTTAATCTATCTTAAAATATAGATTCCTCTTAGTCTTTGCTTTTTTTGTTTTGTTTTGTTTTTTTCTGCCTTACAATTTGTTTGTGGAAGGTTTCCTAGTCTGAATTTTGATGACTGTATCCCTGTGGTGTCATTTACTATGTTCATTTACCCTTCTGTTTCTTGTAAATTGGTAGTTGGCCTGGTTAAATGAAAATTTACCCTTTGTCCCCAAGGATATAACTGGACCCTAAGTGAAATTGTTCACAATTCAATTAGCATTCCTTCAATGCTCTAATGCTAACATTTTCACAAACTTCATGTTAGAAATGGACAGCTTTAAACTCCGTTAGTGTTTGTAGGTTCATCCTCTCTTTTTTTTTTTGGTCATTTAAAAAATCTGTATTACTTTTTCTCATGCCATTTATTTTGTCAGTAACTCTCTAATATCTTTTCTGTTTGTAATTTTTGTTACTCTTTCACATTGTGGTCATTTCTGTTGTTTTCTTTTTATTTTTAAATTTGTCTATATCTGTTTTACTTCTCACATCTCTTTCTTTTGATAAGGGTAGTGCCTTGGATTCAGCAGAAGCTCCAGCTGGGAGATCCAGGAACCATTAATAAACCTCAGAGAGATCCTAAGAATAGAGAACAAGAACAGAAGCAAGGGGTGTGCTAGGCTTCAAGGGTGAAATTACTTGTGACTTCGTTTTGTACTCTTAGTAGGTCCTTAGTTCACTGCCTCTGACTTTTTTTATATTGTTGGCTTAGATTGCATTCAAAGACATATTTTGACTGATTATAGCAGCATATAACATGCTGAATTAATCATTTGATTTTCTATGGTACTGTTTCTGGGTATCCTCTTTTATATATTTTATAGAATAAAGAGGTCTTAATTGTGAAATTTACATTGATACTGAATGCACAGGGTAGGATTTGTAATAATTTAGAGCAGTGGTCTCACGTGGTTTTGATCATAGTCCACCTAACCTGTTTTTCCTAGCGGAAAACCACTTTGCGGTAACAAAGAGTTGCAAAGAAATGTGTGGGAAGTGCTTGTTAATTACTACAAAAAAGACTATGAGCTTATGCACATTGGTTTGTATTCTAAATAGTATCCTATGTAAAGTTGAAGAAGCCTTGGGCCGGGCGCGGTGGTTCACGCCTGTAATCCCAGCACTTTGAGAGGCCGAGGCGGGTGGATCACGAGGTCAGGAGATCGAGACCATCCTGGCTAACACGGTGAAACCCCATCTCCACTAAAAATACAAAAAATTAGCCGGGCGTGGTGGTGGGCGCCTGTAGTCCCAGCTACTCGGGAGACTGAGGCAGGAGAATGGCATGAACCTGGGAGGCGGAGCTTGCAGTGAGCCGAGATCCCGCCACTGCACTCCAGCCTGGGTGACAGAGCAAGACTCCATCTCAAAAAAAAAAAAAAAGAATCCTTAATAACTCACTTATTAGGTTACCAGAAATGGTTCTGACATTTAAAGTAAATAGCAAAGTTTACTGACTCCAGTATCAGTGATAAAAACCAGAGGGAAAAACCTACATTCTGGGTTACTTTGCAGAACAGTGGTAGATTCTTAGGCCTACAAGGGAAGCATAGACTATGCTCAGGAGAAAAACTGTTTAATAAACAAGATTCAAGGTGAGGGGTAGGTAGAGGAGAGAGAGTTACTTGATTTCATTTTTTAAAGTATTAAGATTTTTATTTTATATATGAAAATGTCATGAAATTTATCAGCGATAATGTATTGATACTCAAATTTTTAAAATTTTTAAATTTTAAAATATTTTAATCAACTTCCATTATTTTTCCTCTTCTGGGATGAATTAAGTGGCAAACTTGGCCATTCTAATATTTACTCACTGATAGCTAAATTTTATAGCATCTCTATCTAAAGAAGACAAAGACAGTACCAGATTCCATTTGGTCTAGGGAGATAGCACTACAAAACTTTTTTCCTTGAAAAAATATTCCTGAAGGACGGGTGTGGTGGCTCACGCCTGTAATCCCAGCACTTTAGGAGGCCGAGGCGGGCAGTTCGAGAATAGCCTGGCCAACATGGTGAAGCCCTGTCTCTACTAAGAATACACAAATTAGCCAGGCGTGGTGGGGTGTTCCTGTAATCCCAGCTACTCGGGAGGCTGAGGCACGAGAATCGCTTGAACCCGGGAGTTGGAGATTGCCATGAGCCGAGATCGTGCCACTGCACTCCAGCCTGAGCGACAGAGGAAGACTCTGTCTAAAAGAAAGAAAGAGAGAGAGAGAGAGAGAGAGAAAGAAAGAAAGAAAGAAATATTCCTGAGACATTAACTAGATCCCTTGGTTGAAATAACAGAGGAAGCAGATTTTTGAGCCTGAAGAAAAGGCACATAGAAACCAAAAAAGTTCTCAACATTATTTTACCCCCTTGCAGAAGCTAGAATCTCCCAGTTTCAGCTGTTTCCTCTTCTCCCAGCTTCCTAACGTACTTATTCCCTGAGCCAGATATTCTCCAACTTTGGAAGTTCCTCGGAACTCCCAGGAAGCATGATTACAAAGTCAGAATTTTAAGTAGAGGGTGGTCCCAGACGGCAGGCTACAGGGACCATCAGACCTCACTGGAAGAAACAGGGCTCCAAGTTTTGCCCTGACCCTCCTTTACCTACCCTTCTCCTGAGCTTTCCTGGATTCTACACTGAGCAATCCCTCTGCTGAGATCCAGGCTTAGCAGCTACTTCTTTAAAAATATCCCCCTCCCCAGCCTCATGAATGCACCAAATTGATAACCAAAGTCATTCCTTACTCTGGAATCAGCTCTCCTTCCCGATTTCCCTGCTTTACTTAATATTCAGACTAATTTTGTTTTTGTTTTTGTTTTTGTTTTTTGAGACAGGGTTTTGCTTTGTCGCCCAGGCTGGAGTGCAGTGTTGCAATCAAGGCTCACTGCAGCCACAACCTGGGCTCAGGCAATCCTCTTGCTTCAACCTCCTAAGTAGCTGGGACCACAGGTACACACCACCATGCCCGGCTGATTTTTTTGTTTTGTTTTTTAAAGGCAGTCTCACTCTGTTGCCCAGGTTGGAGTACAGTGGCACGATCTTAGCTCACCACAACCTCTGCCTCCCAGGTTCAGGTGATTCTCCTGCCTCAGCCTACTGAGTAGCTGGGATTACAGGTACCCGCCACCACACCTGGATAATTTTTGTATTTTTAGTAGAGATGGGGTTTTACCATGTTGGACAGACTGTTCCCAAACTCCTGACCTCAAGCGATCTGCCCAGACCTCAAGTGATCTGTCCAGACCTCAAGTGATCAGCCTGCCAAAGTGCTGGGATTACAGGTGTGAGCCACTGCACCCAGCGTAATTTTTTTAATTATTAGAAAAATGAGGGCCAGGCGCTGTGGCTCACACCTGTAATTTCAGCACTTTGGGAGGCCGAGGTGGGTGGATTACCTGAGGTCATGGGTTCCAGACCATCCTGTACAACGTGGTGAAACCCCGTCTCTACCAAAAATACAAAAATTAGGCCGGGCGCGGGAGCTCAAACTTGTAATCCCAGCACTTTGGGAGGCCAAGGTGGTGGATCACAAGGTCAGGAGTTTGAGACCGCCTGGCCAAGATGGTGAAACCCCATCTCTACTGAAAATACAGAAATTAGCCAGGTGTGGTGGTGCATGCCTATAGTCCCAGCTACTCAGGAGGCTGAGGCAGAAGAATCACTTGAACCCGGGAGGCAGAGGTTGCAGTGAGCCGAGATCACACCACTGCACTCCAGCCTGGGTGACACAGTGAGACTACGTCTCAAAAAAAAAGAAAAAAAAAATTAGCCGGGCTTGGGGGTGAGTGCCTGTAATCCCAGCTACTCAGGAGGCTGAGGCAGAAGAATCGCTTGAACCCAGGAGGCAGAGGTTGTAGTGAGCTGAGATCACGCCATTGCACTCCAGCCTGGTCGATAGAGCAAGACTCCATCTCAAAAAAAAAAAAAAAGAAAAGAAAAGAAAAAGAAAAACGAGATGGGGTCGCCCTATGTTGCCTCTGGGCTCAAGTGATCTTCCCTCCTTAGCCTCCCAAAGTGCTAGGATTACAGGCATGAGATACCGTGCCAGGTTAGTTTTGATGCCCAGATGCTGAGTCAAGTATAATGCCTCTTCTTTGTCCCTTCACATCCAATCACTTGCCATATCCAGTTCTTCCTTTAAAATACTCCTGAGGCTGGGCACAGTGGCTCACACCTGTAATCCCAGCACTTTGGGAGGCCAAGGCGGGTGGAATGCTTGAGCCCAAAAGTTTGAGACCAGCCTGGGCAAAATGGGAGAAACTCTGTATCTACAAAAAAGCCAGGCATGGTGGTGGATACTTGTAGTCCCAGCTACTCGGGAGACTGAGGTAGGAAGATCACCTGAGTCCAGGAAGTCAGCACTGCAGTGAGCTGTGATTGCACCACTGCCCTCCAGCCTGAGAGAGAGAGTGAGACCCTGTCTCAATAAAATAAAATAAAATAAAGTGCTCCTGAAATTTATCCCTTTCCTGCCCGTTTTCACTACCAACCCTTTAAAACAAGTGCTTTTTTTTTAATTGTAATTTTTATAGCCTGGGCAACATAGCAAGGCCTTGTCTCTACAAAAAATACAAAAAATTAACCAGGTGTGGTGGCTCACACCTGTGGTCCTACCTGCTTGGGAGGCTGAGGTGGGAGGACCACTTGAGCCTGGGAAGCAGAGGTTTCAGTGAGCCGAGATCACGCCACTGCACTCCAGCCTGGGCAACAGAGTGAGAGACCTTGTCTCAAAAAAACAAAAATTTGTAGAGACGGGTTCTCACTATGTCTCCCAGGCTAGTCTCAAACTCCTGGGCTCAAGCAGTCCTGCCTCAGCCTCTAGAAGTGCTGGAATTATAGGCATGCACCATCATGCAGGGCCAAGGCAGGTGCTTCTTATCTCTTATTTATTTATTTATTTATTTTTTAATTTAGAGACAGAGTCTTGGTCTGTCACCCAGGCTGGCATGCAGTGGCGTGATCTCAGCTCACTGCAACCTCTGCCTCCTGGCTTCAAGCAATTCTCATGCTTCACCCTCCCGAGTAGCTGGGATTACAAGCATGTGCCACCACACCTGGCTAATTTTTGTATTTTTTGTGGACATGATGGTTTGCTATGTTGGCCAGGCTGGTTTTACACTTTTGGCCTCAAGTGATCTGTCTGCCTCAGCCTCCCAAAGTGCTGGGATTACAGGCGTGAGCCACCACACCCGGCTTTCTAAGACCTAACTTCATGATATTTTCATTAAGCCTTTCTGGATGCTTGAATGAAGTCACTGCTCATTCACCTGTGCCTCTGCTTGTACCTTGTATTACATAATCACATACTGCAGCCTTGCACTGTGCTCTTTACCGTGTGTGTGTGCCTGTGTGTGGTGTGCGTGTGTGCGCACCTTATTTTCCCTCCATAGTAGGAGCTTTGGCTCATTTATCTTTGTATTCTCCAACACCTTGCAGTGTGCCTTGCTCATAGCAGGTGCTCCATAGATATTAGATTTTTAAAGATTAATTTAGATGATAAGGATAATAGTCTTCATTTATTAGATGATGAGAATAATAACACATTTATTGAATGCCTGTGCCAGGGACTTAGCCACGGGCTTTACTTATTTCATCACGTCTTCACAACAGCCCTGTGATACACAGGTGCTGTTGTTACCCAGTATTGCAAGTGAGATGATAAATACTGAGTACTGAGGCCAGGTTCTGAATCCAGGAGTTGGACTGCACCAGAGGCTAAGCACTTGCCCTCATTGTTGTGCTGCTGGGCTACGTATGGAAGACAAAGATGTCTCGGGGTATTTGTTCTTTTGTAAGAATTTCAGGCCAGGCGTGGCGGCTCGTGCCTGTAATCCCAGCACTTTGGGAGGCCAAGGCAGGTGGATCACCTGAGGTCAGGAGTTTGAGACCAGCCTGGCCAACATGGTGAAACCCTGTCTCAAGGATCAGGAGATCGAGACCATGGTGGAAACCCCGTCTCTACTAAAAATACAAAAAATGAGCTGGCCGCGGTGGCGGGCCGCCTGTAGTTCCAGCTATTGGGAAGGCTGAGCAGGAGAATGGCGTGAACCCAGGAGGCGGAGCTTGCAGTGAGCCAGGATCCGCGCCACTGCGCTCCAGCTTGGGCGACAGCCGAGACTCCGTCTCAAAAAAAAAAAAAAAAAAAAAAGAAGGGACTGTATACTCTAACTTAAAAAAAAGCTTTCGTTTATTATTGACAACACAAAGAAGCTATTTATAATTTACTAAGTTTTGTTCCCCTGCTAATTTTCCAATATT